GGTGTCCTTGTCTCTTCTCACTCTTTGTGAATGGTGTCCTTGTCTCTTCTCACTCCTTGTGAACAGTGTCGTTGTCTCTTCTCACTCTTTGTGAAATATAACCACTGTACTTGAAAACAGCCAAGATGATGAAGAACTGTACTCTATATTCTATGTCTTTTATGCACAAATATATATTTATTATCAAGAACTTGTGTGTTTGTTCATATCCGCTGGAAAGCAATATAGTTTCAATGGCAGATTGTGCTGGGCCAATGAAGAAGGGCCAAAGGATCACTGTAGGAATTAAGACGTGACCATTTCTCAGTGATCCCCTCCCCCAAAACACACACACACACACACACACACACGCTTACCATGACAAATAGCCTGTGACATGCCTCTGTGAACATGGCACGGAAGGGTCCACTCCCTCTCCCCAGGGCTGATAAGACAGTGGAGTCTGCCATTGGATGGGAGTCCGAGTGTCTCCTCACTGGGTCTGAATTTCACTTCCAGTGAACCATTTCACCTTTCTAGCAGTGGTGAAGAAAAAGCTACAGGGAAATCACAACAGTTGCAGTTATTCTGCGATGACATGTTACACAACAATAGGCCCCTTTTCACAGCAGCCATTTTGCATGTCAATGCATGTTAAACAACACAGCTGTAATACAACATCAATCATTATGGTCCTGTTCCATTTAGGTGGGCCTGGGCCCTGGTATTGTGTATGCTGACTCACTGGCATGGCTGCGACACACTAAATGCAATGGGACCTTAATTAATTTGATTAATTATAGCTGTGTTTACTCTGCTATGTGTCAAAAGGGCAGATTGGGAACGAGATAAAAACGTGCAAGTATTTATTTTGTCGTTTCGAGCCAATTATTGTTACCCAGCAGCTGTTTTCCACATCTGTCTCTGCAGTCACAATCAAATAAAGGCAAAAACTCACACATTTAGTAGGATGAAGCCCTCCTTTTGTAGTGATAAATTCCCTGTCATTTAAAATAAAAAGGAATTGTGTTCATGCTTTTATTGCCAGAAGAAAACAGTTGACGGCCGAGTGGAAAATGTGAAAGATGCCCTTGGATGCGAGTCTGACATGTTCAGGGTTTGAGTTATTCTAAAGAGGTCGCCTGGGTTTTGGAGTGAACAGGAGTAGCGGAGGAGAAGAATCCACATTAATGCAATAAACTTACACCATCCATGTTTGTTCAGATGGTTTTCCTCGTGGCGAAGAGGGAGATCAAATGGCCACATCAATTCTAAATTGTCCATGAACGTTACTGATGTGGGGCTCGCTCTCTGGATTGCAGAATAACTCAACTCTATGGCTCCAGTGGGCCTTTGGACAAACATGACTGTGATGGTGGACAACAAAGACTTAATGCTCCCTCTGCTCCGACTGTTTCACGGAGATGATTCTGATGTTCAGACTCCCTCAATCGATACCAGACACAGGCGGCTCGACCATCCCAGAACCCACAATTCACTCTGTTTTTAAAGGAACAATGTGCATTCTTTAGCATTAAGGGGGATCTATTGGCAGAAATGGAATATTATAGTAATAAGTATGTTTTCTTTAGTGTATACTCATCTTAAAACTAAGAATGGTTGTGTTTTCATTAGCTTAGAAGGAGCCTTTTATATCTACATATGTTGCAATGTCATGTTTCTACAGTAGCCCAGAAGGGACAAACCAAACACTGGCTCTAAATAGGGCCATTTGCGCTTTCTATACGGCTCTGGCAGCGACCTGTCAATCACAAGGTAGCCCCGCCCTAAAGCATCCCCTGCTTTATGGTCTGTTTGACTCTAAATGGACCATAATTTACTAAATGAACATCATGCTGTATTGAAGAAGACTTGAAACTAGAGATTGAGACCATAAACTCATGTTTACAATGTTTACCGGGGTAATAAATCAAGTGAGAAGTAGAGTCATTTTCTCATAGACTTCTATACATTTAGACTTATTTTTCTAACCAGAGGAGTCGCCCCCTGCTGGCCATTCTAAAGAATGCAAGTTTAAGACACTTCCACATTCCCACACTTCACTCCTCAGGACTGGCGGCTTCCGCCTGGATTCCAAGATTGAGTAGCAACACAAACACTTTGGTTTCTGTATGTACTGATCAAACCAGTTATAACCTGTTCATTAGTGAGCTTTAGAGGTGCTGTTAGGCAGATTTTATAATCTTAAAAACTGAGTCAGGCTAGCTGTTTCAAAGTCTATCTTTAAGCTAAGCTTAGCTAACTCGCTGTGGCTTCGTATTTAGCAAACAAATGAGAGTGCTGTCAATCTTCGAATCCAACTCTTGGCAAGACAGTAAATAATGCCGAGTTGTATAAAAATACCTAACCACACAAGAGTCTCCACAAGGACCAACGCCGTTTTTGGATACAACTTCAGCTCACATATCTCACTTTGGCCTGTCAGACAATAACATCACACACAAGAGACCCTAAGATCTCTTCCTCTTCGTCTGAGTGAGGCGGACGGGGAAAAGTAGAGTCAACACTGATGGCTCCCACATGTGTCTGTGAAAAGGCAGCTCAGATGCAGTATTTCAAACAGTGAGGAGGTCTTCAGGCAGAGGGACACAAGGCTTGACCGAGTGTGTAAATATGCACACGGTGTTGATGTAGTGCTGAGCGCGTACGCACAGTCATGCACACATCCTCCTAAGCAAAGCTCTGCATGTGGTTCTCACAGTGCAAACAGTATATTAGTAACACGTGTGTGGCGTCGTCTTCAAGCTTTGTTTTCACGCCCTATCATCCTGCATGTATGGATTATGGTCATTTAGAAACAACATATTAACTGCTTTCCTCTTGTAGAATTGCAATTTCTGACTTGTCAACGTAGAGGATTTAAAGGGCCAGTTCTATGCTATATCTGTCAATTCAGGTCATGTCAGGGGGACTTCCAAATGTCTCAATCTTTCCACTGAGAGCAAATTTCCACCAAAAGCACAACAGCCAAGCAAAAGGAATAGTGTTCAAACAAGCTTGGTAGATCAAAGCGTAGGGGTTGTTTTTTGTTGCTTTGAGATACATTGCACAATAATCTCAAAAGCTCATATAGTTACACAGAAACTGTCTAAATGAAGATTCTTTTAAGAGAACTGACCCAACAGGTCATTGTGACTTATTGATCGGACTGTAGCCTATGTGCTTCCCATGATGACCTATCAATGCATAGGAGCGGCTCAGGTGGACATCGTGGTCTAAGAGCGCTGCACATGCCTCAGTGTTTGAGGCTCTCTTATTTTGACAGATTTGGTATTTTAAACTCAAGCGACGGTGTCCTATATTTGCATATTTTTTTAAACAGCTTTCCTAAAAAATAGTTGAGATGCCCAATCTGACATTGATCAACAATCTTTAACTCATGTTACTCAAGCAGCATGTGCATTGCTACTTATTCTTTGGATCTACATTGCTGATAACTTTACTAAAAGGTCACACAGTGAAAATGCAAACATGATTAAGTTCAGCAGGGAATGTTTACACCGCTCAGCATGCTAACATCTGCTAGTTAGCGCTTAACACGAGGTACAACTACAGCAGATGGGAATTTCATTGGTTCTGGAGGTATTCGGTCATAGAAGTAAAAGTATTTGACAAATTGGCCCAAATGACGTGACCCAGCTTCGGCCCAAACTCTGCACGCCAGAAGGAATAAGTTGCGCCGCGTTTGGTCGCCCGATTCGGTTGACGATCGGCCAAATATACCGGCCCGATTATGGCTGCCGACACTGCCATCAGGTGGTTTTAAATGTAATATTTAACCGAAACGTCTCCAGTTCGATTCCAACGAACGACTTTGCAGCATGTCTCTATGTCTCTACCCCCCCGTTTCCTGTCTACCTTGTGACTGTCAAAAACAACCGTCCAATAAAAGCAATAATGCTCCAAAAATAATCTTACTTAAAAGAATGTGCTAATCCAACTAGAGGATATCGAAATACTTCACTGGATGAGTCCTGCTGGTGCCGATAGAGGATCAGGAGATCCCCGGGCTCCATCTCTGGGGACCATGAATATCTGTGCAAAATTAAAATAAAAAAAAAATGACATGACTGAATCTCTTTACCTTCATGACGCGGCTAAAAGAAACCACACGGAACACGCTTAGTCATTTTAATATATTTGTATATATTCATATATTACACATTTAATACAGGCACAATGAAAAATCATAAAGTAGAGACAAAAAGTGGCTGAGATAATTGGTAAAAATGTACAATTTATGAGAATCATTTACACAATTTTGCACTCTTTAAACTCTGTTCAATACAACATATAAAGAAATAAAAGATGTGAAAGTGACAAAAACAAAAAGGACCCTTGGAAGATAATTTTGTACGTTTTTTAGAGACAGCAAGAACCAGCTTGCTAATACTGAACACGATTACTGAATCTGTGAACTCTTTTTCTTTAATGAGTTCGTCTCATCTGACTAAAACCACCAACATAATTATTTAAGGGAAAACACAGAGGGACATTTCTAACTGTACAAATGTCTGAAGGTACAATTTTAGGATTCTATGTAAACTCATTCATTTCAAATACCTTCAAAGATTTGGCTGATTAAAGTCCAGAGCGAGATACAAAAAGGTTTATCAAACTCAACTTAAATGGATGATTCCATCATCCATTTGAGATTAATGTCTGCTTCTAGATTATTATCAAAGTCTTAAACCCCAATCATACAAAACACGAAAAACTGCAGACAATCCCTGTGGCCATGAAATCAAATAAATGATCAAGTGAGACATCGATGAATCCAGTATGGATATGGAGTTTTAAATCACCTGCAGACCAGTCAGTTAAAAACTACTACGAGTCATTTTCTATAGCACAGCGGACAGTAAAAAACAAGCCTGATGCGGAAAGTTAATTTTCTTAAAATCGTATCTGAGAGGTCAGTTGGCCACACGATGCACAGTGTCTGAAACATCACAGCTTCCAGGCAACTAACCAATCTCCAGACACGTCACATACCAGCATCATTGACCAATTTCAGGATCATTACATGGTTGAGGTCAAAGGGCAAAGAAGAAAAACATAAAACTACTCCGTAGAGAAGTACAACATCTTCTACAGCAGCGGCCTTCATTAGTAAAAGACAAGAATGAAGCACCGAGAGTCAAACGTGGCAATTATCCATCCATTCATCCGCTTTCTAGACCCGCTTCTGCTGCTTATATAGTTGCAAGAGGCTTATCCCAGCATGCACTGGGTGAGAGGCAGGGGCAGGCCTTTAATCTATCACAGGGCAATGGCAGTACTGTGTCACAATATTCAACCACAGTCGACAACACCGGATTACTCAGCGTCGCGGCAGTCGCGATAAAGGCGTTTCCATCGCTAGCTCGGCCTCGTTGTGCTACTTGCTCACTGACATCGTCTACAGCGAGTGAGAACGAGAGGTTCAAGGTCAACCGACGAGCGTCGGATAGAAAAGAGTCCGATGGTCAAACTCAATCGCAGAAGGCAAACGTGACTCATTCGTTTTTGGAAGACAGTCGGGTTTGTAAAAAGAGTAGACACTTTCCCTTCAACATCCAAATATAAGGAGTAAAAAACAAAACTGGCACTTTGTTGGTGCTATTCTTACTTAATAATTGTGCTGTAGTATACAAAGAAAGAAAGAAAGTTAGATTCAGGCACATTTCTCCATTAACGGGCAGTTAATGGAGTCAGTTTTACAAAAAAAGGCTGCAAGTTAGATTTGGGGTAATGTCCCGTGATTCTTTTTTGTAGCATCTGAACATTTGACAAAATGTTTTACAGTCAAGAATGCTGAGATAAAGTATACAAATGAAAGGCTTAACAACTTTAAAAGTACAAGCCAAGGACCGAGAGGGGAATTAACAGGTTCAATTCTAAAAAAGAAGACCACACTGATCACAGACCCCATTAGAGGTGATTGTTTAAAGAACACACTCCATGCATTTGACCACAGAGAAATGTAGCTTAAATCTGGAAACCCAAATTTGGGTCAAACATTGACGCACTTTTGTTGCCTGTTGAGCCACGCTATGAGAGGAGGCACTGAGGTCAGGTCTTCTTTTTTTTTTGCATTAGTTTGAAAGCACTTCGATGTTATTTTAAGAGATCAAGCTGGTGCCATACGTGTGCGAGTACTGTGTGAGACAGAGTCCACCTTCACTGCTTCATTGCACATGATGAAAAAAAGACAAGGAGCAGAAAAAACAGAGAAAGAGCAGTAAACACAACGGATTTGAGCGCCGAGTCAGCGCTGGTTGAGCAGAATGAACAGTGTGAATATTTACAGTTCAGAGGAAGGAACCTTTTCTTCTCTTCCACGCCGACATTTTATATTCTTATAGGCTCTTGACAGACGAATATAAGAGGAAGAAGAGCATCTGAAAGATTGTTAGTGCACGTTTTTTTTTTTTTTTTATGATTTCAAATACAATATAGATTTATATCTAATCCATAAATTGTTTCTGACTATACAAAAGTGAATTGATCAGAAAGCATTATTAAATGTCATATCTACACATTTCCTGAAAGCTCATCTTAGTCTTCTTTTCTTTTTCTTTTCTTAAACAGTGTTCAATACTCAGTGCTGTTTTATTGTAGTGAGATTCTCGCCTCCCGGGCAAAAGCTCAGATGGATCCAAAGGTTCAGGAAGCCTCGGAAAGTCGCCAACTTTTGTGTTTTCTTGAGAACCAGAGTGGTGGGTCACCTCAGCAATCTGCCATGTAACGTCCTAAAGAGTAGAAGAAGAGACGTGAGCTGTTTGAAGCATTAACCGCAGCAGCATCAGGTGCGTGTGTGGATGATCCAGCGTTCTACCTACCTGTGGCAAACCTCTTCTTGTTGAGAGAAAGTCTGTATCCGGGCCCCTGCAGCTCCATGTCCACTGCTGACAGGGTGCTGCCCTCGCTCATGAACTGCACTGCGAGAGTGGTGGGGTTCGATGGTCCGTCTGACAGCTCAAACTTGGCCCTCAAGGACCCGGCGCCTGGTGTCAAACACGAACAAAATGCACTCACTTGGCAGCAGGGGCGTGAATATGGACAGACCGGTTGCACTGGGACCCCCGTGGGGCGAAGGGGCCCGCAAAAAATGCATTGGGCGAAGACCGGGTCCTTGCAGATTGCAGCCTTAGAAATACGCCTGTTTTCATTTCTTAAGAAAAAGTTTCTCCTCATTTTTCAACTCAGTTAGGTTCAGCCAACACAAGTACTCGGCTAGGTTTAGGAAAAGATTGTGCTTTGGGTTAAATCACTACCGGAGTATTATGTTTTTTGTTATCGTTTGTACTTTTGTGTTCATGATTTCGTGGGATATCAACAAATCACAGCGCTTTCATTTTCACAGGCATAGCGACAATCGCTGCCTGATGTCCTCAAAAAAAGGCAAACTCCTCTTGGTCATGGTTGGAGGGTAAAATAGTCAGCAAAATGTCTCTAAAACTGTCTCTAGTCGCAAACAAAGAAGAGAAGAAGATGATTTACCTTCATTGTCAGACTTTTCTGAGATGTCACTCAGCTTCCACAGACACTTATTCTGCTCTGGATTCCTAAAAGAAGAGAAAGAAATAAGCTTCTGCTGTTGAACTAACTATACATTTTTCATAATTTTTGTTCTCCTGCTGATATATATATATATATATACACACATACACACACATACACAACGAGCACCACATTTTACCAGATGGAGTTGGGCAGAGACTGCATGTTGCTGACTCCCCCGTCGACGGGCACTAGGATCTGAACGTTGGAGAGCGGATTGGGCGAGGCCATGGACTCCGGGTTGTAGCGGTAGTCCACCCGCAGGTCCGACGTGCTCGGTGTACACTTCCAGTACACGGCCAGGTTGAGAGGAGTGGAATGGATCCCATCGGACTGCACCTGAGCACAGCGGGATTGAACAAAGCCACTTTGAGTTTCAGCAAAAAACCCACTAAAGGCAATCAAACGGTCACAATGCTTCTGATGCAATGAGTTTGGAGTGTTTGTGATCATTGTGCTTTTTTTCCATAAATTCTACGTACGGTGCTGACAACTTGGATTTAATAGGTTAAGCTTTCACGATATTATTTCATATGTGCAATGACTTAAATATAAAGTAATGTAATCATGTAAATAAGCCAGTTTGAAGCTATAAAACCAGCCTTCGTGGGGTTTGTTTTAAAGATGATGTCATCCAGCGGTGGCATTTCGCGTGTGAGGCTGCAGGCTTTTAGGGCCAGGCAGTACAGTATATAGCTGAGGTTTAAACCAGACTACAGCATGGCTTGAGAGTAGTAAATTCAATAATAAAGCCAGCTAGTGACCACAAATGAATTCAATTGCACAGACTGTGAGGATGTGTGGCAGGCACAGACGACAATGTTTAAAACTATTTGATTATATTAAGAATATAGCAGACTAAAGCTGCTTAGGGCTGGAGGATCAAATACAGCATTATGACTTCTGTTTACCTTTGGAACATGCTTATCAAAACATTTCACATAAACAAATACATTCTGCACTAATTACATTTCCCTGATCTTCTTCTTTTGTTTTTGCTTCTTCCTGAGACTTGTCTGGAGTGTGAAGCACTCGGGGAAACATGGTTTTTTTTTTTAGAATGCATTCTTTGCCTCCAGTCATTTCATCTGGATTACGCTCTCGACTGGACTTTGGCTGACCTGGTATTTTAGGATGTCCACGTTATAATAGGAAGCTGTAGGATTCTGCTCTGAAGATTTCCTGAGGTAGGACGTCAGCGCTTGCATGTTGAACCAGAAGTCCTTGGAATTTGAGTCACTTTGGGAAGGATCACTAGATAGAAAGTAAAAACAGTCAGGAACACACACACACACACACACACACACACACACACACACACACAAGGAATAATCAGAGGCTACATTATTCATTGCTCTTCCTGGCTTTGTGTGCAAAGCTCCAATAGCTTGGAAAGAATGACCCTGTTGTATCCAACCAGCTACTAAATCATGAATTCCATTTGATTCAATTAGTCCAACCATGTGGTCTTGGGATAACAGAGACGGAGACGAAGAAACATCGAAAAGATGTTCCTTTACTTTTTAAGAAAGAATATGAACGCGTCAAATAGAATTTGTTTTAAAAAAAGTCGTAGTTTTAAAGATATTAGCAACAAAGTTGAAAACTAAATATTGAAAGCTGCTTGTGAGGTGAAACCTACATGAAACACCTTTGACTGAGACTAAAGAGGGGAGAGGCTCCATGATGTACGGTGAATGAAACAGATGTGATGTGAGGTGGGCTGTTCTCTGCTGTTCAGTGTTTCAGAAGAGACACGGGCTGTCGAGAACCTGGCTGTTAAAGTCTGGTGGAAAATACTTGCCTGACAGCTTAATGACGGGTTTATGTCAGATTACTAATTGAATTTCCTCACACTGACGCAGACAACATTTCCTCCATTCTCACCCGAACCATCGCGTCCGAATCCCGCTTCCATCTAACCACTGACAAGCTATCAACTCGTCGTCTCTGCGAAGCTCTTCGCCCGTTTGTATTTCAGCCGTTCAGTGCCGAACGTCTCCGGGCGGCTCACCTGTACAGTAGCTGCTGGTTGGGTAAGATCTGCTCCAACCTGCTGGTGTTCTTCAGCTTGAAGGTGAGCACGGCCGGGGAGGGGTTGGTGGTGAACACCTTGATGATGCCCATGGGGAACGAGAAGGTCATGTCTCCTGTGATCTTCACGATGCACCTGTGGAATGTAGCCACGTGAATAAGAATTATGTCGAGGGGATATCGAACACACTGGCTTTAGGTCGCAGGTGTTACACGTCTTCACTCCCCCCTTTCTGAATATACATCTGTATGCTTTTATAGTCTAATATAAATCAAGTTTCTTCCTTCGGTCGGGGTTGGCCTTAGCTGCGGTGGTAACGGCCCACAGCGGGCCTCAACCTCGCACCGTGTCTCCGCTGCATTGCTTATGAAATGTTCCATTTACTAATCCCTGCAAAAATAAGCCTTTTGCACAGCAGCAATTTAACAGCAGTTAACCAATAAACGGCTGTATGTTTTCTCTGCCCCAGACTATAATCTGCCCCGCGTAGGTTATCCACTCTGAAAGAATGGTGTCAGACTGATGCAAAAACATTCCACACATGCAGAGCGAGAGGGAGGGACACACACACACACACACACACACACACACACACACACACACACACACACACACACACAAACCAAAAGGTCTGAGTGTAGCACCACCAACTGCAATACTCATAACGTCATACGTGTTGTAGTTTAAGATCAAATATGGACAAAAATGTGTATGCGTGCAGGTCCATGTCGGGGCCTTTGAGCAGCAGGAGGTCATGTGAGACTCACTTAGTGGGATCAGCTCCTTTGAAGTAAGCATTAACCGATTCTGTGAAGGCCACGGCAATGGGCAAAGCATCCAGGGATCCCAAGGTCACAGGGCTGGGACCGCGAGACGTCCCTGAGAATGAGAAAGGAACAGAGTTTGAGGTCTGTTGACTCAGCTGCGGATCAGACTTTTACAGCAGCGGGGTCCAAAGCTCACATCTGAATTAGGAAGGCTTGATCATGCAAAGATGCATTATGTAATTTAGAACATTTGTATTATTGCATTTCATGAAGTCGGCCATTCACACGTTGCAAATCAGTGCAGTGTTATTTTTCAAATAAAGGAAAATAAGCTACGTTTTTTTCGAGCAGATCATGCTCCAGCTGCTTTAGTTCAAAGTCAGTAATACTACACAGGCAGGATTACCTCAGACAGCGTATTAAGATTAAAGTCAACAAAAGACGTACCATTCACGACGTCATTATTTATACGATCGAATCTTTGTAATGTTAGGAGCTCACGGTGCTGAAAAGGTGAATGTGGGGAGCAAACAGAGAAATACAACCACTGCAAAGCAAGGTAACCAGCCGTCAAACAGACTGGTGTTAGTTTGAGTTAAATACAGAGGAGAGTCCTCTTGTATGAGCTTCCACCGTACCTGCTGGTGTTTCACACCGCTTCTCAAAGGTAGGCAGCTTCGCTATGAACACATCTTCCTCTTTACGCCAAATTAAAAGGCATAAAGAAGAGAGGAGGAGATAAACAGAGCCAGAGAGCACACATGTGAGGGGAGAGGTGATGCTGAGCACAGTTCTGTAAGTCCTAAATGTGTTTGTGGCAGGTGAGCCCTGAGCTGACGAGGCTGATACGAGTGCACACAGATGGAGGGACGAGCTAACATGCCCTAATGAGGACATCAGTGACATGTGTGAAGGGTGGAGATGATGGAGGAGGAAACGAGAGTGAAGGGAGACTCACTTTGGCTGAGCAGAAAGAAAGGAGAGAGGGAGAGCAGCTCTGGCTCTGGGGAGGAGAGGAGGAGAGCAAAGGTGTGCTCAGCTCCTGTAAGCAGAGGATTCAAGGAAGGAAGGAGAGAGGAGGAAACACAGCACATTGTGTTGCAAAGACAACAAGGTATGTGGCAAGTTGGTGAAGAGTTGAAGAAAAAAGGAGACGAAACAGTTGTGATGAGTCACGGAGGAGGCTTACCAACGGTGGGGGTGTTGCCGGCGCTGAGCGAGGCGTTCGAGGACAAGGAGGAGGAGCTCTCCGCCCGGGCGAGAGGCGCAGCGGGAGGAGGGCTGGCGTTGGACGTCTTGGGTGGGGTGAACGGCCGTACCTGAGCGAAGCGGGTCATAAAACGATAACCGAAATGTGACCTTGTTGTGTTGCAGGTATTTTGTGGGGATGTTTGCTGCAAGTACTCACAATCTCATTGATCCCTGTGAGTTTCCCCGTGGGGACTTTGGGCCTGGAGGAGGGTCGAGGTGGGGGCACCAGGGCTCCGGCTGTCAGCGGGGTCGTCGGTCGGTTTGGTGCTGGCACTACACGGGAGAAACAAGTTCTCCTGGTTAGTGGCAGTAAACGGCACGGGCATCGGGTACAAACAAACCATGTAAACACTGTGCTTCATTGAAGTAAACGCAAAAACCATCATGCATCAGGACCCCTAGTTTGAAAACCATAACAGCAAAACAGGTACAACATAGAAGTAAAACACATTCCAAAATAAATGTCATCAAAAGAAACTCAAAAACAAACATGTTGCAAACCAGGCAGCGAGTTAGACAAGCATTTGTCTGAAAAATAAGAAAACAAAAAAAAACAACAGAATTGTCAACTTCAAATACGAAACAAATGCACAAAATGAAAACATACAGTTAAAATAAAACAAAATATAAAACTCCAAACCTCAGGCATAAGACACGTCTCTAGCATCGGTAATAATGTTACCATTGAATATTTTGCTTGATGGAGCTGCTGCCATCGCCCTATCAGTAATCCCAGAGAAGACATCAGAGAAACAGGGGATGCCGTCTCCTCCGCTGCCCGGCGCTTTGCAGAAGGCCTCGGCGGACTCATCGGAGAGGAAGCGACACGCCCTGCCGGAGCCGGACTGAGGCCTCTGGAGCTCTTTCAGGGACGGCCCCGGGCCCTGGCGGCGAGCCGGGGCGGAATTATCGCTGAAGGCGATCCACTGGCTCTGGGACCAGGACACGGAGGAGAAGGCGTCACCGCTCTTTGGAGGGCTGGCGGCGGCGGCGACGGCCGGGCTTTTGATGGGGTCGATGGGCTCGGTGGGCAGGGTCATGGGGGCGCTCTGGGCCCTCGCTGGGGCGGGCTTGAGTGCTTGGAAAGGGTTTTCTGGCGAGTCCCAGGGAGAGGATGTGGACGAGGAGAAAGAGGAGACATCTTTGGACTGCTGGCTCTCTGCCAGGGGAGGAGAGCGTTCCCGCTGGGTCACTTCCTCAGCTGACGGGGGGGCGATGTGATCGACAAGAGGCGATAAATTTGACAAATGCAGAACAAAGTATAGAAGATCAGACATGGGGCAATACAAGCATATTAAAACAGGTAGCGGCAACATATCCTCATTGCTTTTACCTCGAACACATGAAACATTGTCTACCAGTTAGTACATTAGTATTGTTGCACTCACACAGTGATGTCATAGCTGAAGCATTCTAATACAACCTGGTTTCTGAACCGCCGAGTAATCGGTTTGAACCCAGATGGGTCAAACCATCAAGTGACATCACAGTAGTGCGTCTGCACTCGCACACTCTCACACACCTGAATCATGTGAGGTGGGAGGTGAATGAGGCTCTCTCATAACTTAGCTGTCTAAAGACATACATGGAGCCAAAATGGAAAACACTTAAGGACAAAAAAAAAGACTTTTAAATAACCACCAAGGCCAGCACAAGTACAAAGGTTTTTGTTAAAAAAAAAAAAAAAAAAAAGTATTCTTCCTCCCATCTCGTCAAATATCTAATTAGATGGTAACCAAATTTCCGAACAACTAGCAAAGACTCTTGCGAGGACGGATATCATTGTCTCCATTGCTTTGCTGATTGCCAGTTCTTATTCAGCTGACAAATTCTGCAAACTGGCATTTAACCAAATATGAAACCAGGTAAGAGTTATAATAAGTTATAGTGTTAAGTCCTCTCTAGGCGTTTGCATTATGTTGTATTGCCCCGTTAATTGCTGCACACGCAGCATACTGAGCATGGACTTAAACTTACATATATACACAATATTAAATCTTCAGTTAGTGTCTACAATTACTACATATTCCTCTCACACAGACCTTAAACTACATGCAAACTCTGCATAACCATAGGTGTTTACAGAAATATCAATGCCTTTTTTAAACTAAAATCTTCTCAGCAATAAATGTGCAAAGCGATGACTCTGATTTTAGACATAAGGACACACGTCAGCCTGTATCTCACACATGTTCATATGCATTTGAACAAAAATCTAAAACATGAATACCATGCACAGCAGTAGCTGACGAATGCTTCAAGTTGTCCGAACGAGTTTTCGTTTAGATCACTGTCTGATAGTCGGCGCACATACACATTTTACCTGAGGCCTCTGGCAGAAAGACGTCTGAGTCATTCTTCAGAAAAGATGGAGACGGAGGGATTGAAAGGAAGATAGAGGCAAGGTCTAACGAGAAAAGTTCATGTAAATAAAGAAAATCAAATAAAACATCAACATAATATCAACTCAGTGACATCGTAATAAAACAAAAAGCAAAACAATATGTCAAACAGATGAAAATGTACAAAAACAAATCAATAAATTAAACAAATGACGAGTAAGAAAGGAAAAAAAAAAATAATTCCACACATTTTTACAATCTTTGCTTCATTCAGTGACAGTTTAATCGTTTTAATCGCTCACAGACTTGTGTAATGTGTCATGTGTGCATCGGGAGCTGGTGATACTGCTTCACTGTACACAGAGAGATTTAACAGGCTGTTAATTCCCATCACCGTATCTTAATCAGGGCACTCTGCGATGCTCTTTTGACATTTAAGCCGAGACCTTTGACAGTAACGAGACAATGTTTGACAACATACGTGCCAGTGGGCTTTATAGCCGGCCCTCTGACCTCAACGAGGTGCCAATTAACTGTGGATTACGCTTAGCCTAGGCAATGGGTCAGCGCTAATGTCACTCTGTTTAAACACTGGTGTCATGCACGTAAAGCCGTGAGATTCACTCCATCGACGCTTAAAAGTTAAGTAAAACAAACACTTTATGAAACAGAAGGAGCACAAGATTGGAAAAACGACTGAAAAGACAAACTGGGATGGAAAAAGCTGCCGTTTTGATTCCCTAAGGTTGAATATTCTGTTAACCTCGGGGGTCCGTTCCTCCGTCTGGGGCTTGGCCCTGAGACGAAAGGCTCCCAACTGAGCAGCTCAGAAAAAGAAAGAGAGGGAGGAAGAGACTACATAATGCGTCGAGAGAAGATGAGAAACCTGTTATTGGTGCAACACATTTTGTCGAGGGACACTGTAGGATAAAACAATAAAGTCTGACGTTGTTGAGGAACATATACGTGCAGAGCAATGAGGCTTTGGGGATTACCGGTTGTAGAGGACACAGAGGAAGAGGAGCCTGCTGCCAGAGACGGGCCGAACGGGTCCAGAGACAGAAGGTCGTTGTTCGTCAGTCTGCCGGAGCAGAGAGAGCGAGAGAGCGACGAGTCAAACTTACAGCAGCATTTCAAGCAAAAAGCGTCACAGCTTCACTAAACGGCATAGATACTGTGAACATGAGAATGGTGGCGGTCCGGAGCTCTTTCATACGTACTCGTATGGTGTTGGCACTCTGGGTTTTCCCAGCTCGTCACCTGCAGGGGAGAGAAAACCAAAGAGAGACTTAAGACCCACGGACCTGCACGGAGTGATGACAGCAAGGAAAAATGAAAAACCCAACACAAGAGGTTTCCACCGGCGACTACGATTCAATTTGCCAAAAGTCACGTTTAAACTACATCACACCTTAAACCAGAAACATAAACTGAGGTTCTGACTGAACAAATGAGAATCTGCCGTGAAAAGCCACAGACGTCTATTTGCAGTAAGATTTAGGTCGGATGAGATATTTCTCTTATTTCTGCCAAACACAGAAAAACCTTAAAATCTTACCCAAATACAGCAACTTTAAACATGTTTTTTAGTTTGATGGTAACACTTTAAAACAGGGGACGGAGTCATTTTGCAACTACAAATAAAATCAGGCCTTGCTCTGTTATTGTGTGCCCCTTTCTAAAGTGTTACAATGCGTTACAAGAGATCCGTATAAGCGACCTGAAGCAGCACCAGAAGGTAAGAGGAGACGACCGAGAGGACCCGGAAATGAAACCAGACGTGTTTGTGAATTCTTAATATGAGAACTGAAAGTTTGCAGCGAGAGAACGCCGTGTCAGCGGTGTTAGCTTGTGTCAGCTGGCTGCAGGGGACAGAGAGGAGGGCTGTGGTGGGTGTTTGGAGCGGATGGGGAAGGCAGGTTTGTAGGCGTACTACTGTAGATAAAACATACTCACCAGGACCCTGAGCCTTAGAGCTTAACGAAGAAGCTCGTGTGTTCCCTAAGCGTGTGTAGAGTATACATCTATCAATGCAATACCTTGTGTTTTCAGATGCAGAATGTAACTATTATAACCATTTAGTTACTTTTAACTCATAAGAAAAACCTTCTGGATTAATGTTCTTTTGGACCTCATGAAGGAAGATAAATGAGCAACTGGTATATTTTCTCAAGCACTCCATTCTACAAACTGTGCCGGCTTGCAGAATGGAAAAGATCATTTCTGACATGTCAAAACATAAACGGCCAATAAAGCACTTCATCTTGTTTGTACCACAAGAGGGAAACATCCCTCGAGCTCACATTTACACAAAAGAAGAGTTATTTACGTCTTCTTCAGATATGTTGGTTTTGGACTTTCTTTTGTTTCCAGACAACCTCTTTAAAAAACAACTTGTGCCAAGAAAAATGTAGTGGAGAGGTTGTACAGTCGCCCCCCCCTCCCTTTCACAGTCATCCAGCAACACGCAGATACAGAGAGGTCAGGCAGAGAAAATACTCACTGGACTGGTTCCTCCGCATCTGTCCCTGAAAACAAAAACAGACATCGATTCATCAAAGCATGCGACCCACCACGGACTTTCAACTGTTACTTGCCAGAAGTTTGCTCAGTTTGTTAGAAACAAATCACAAGTAAGACGAAACTGATCGTTCTCCATGCGGGGAACACAAAACAGATCAACAAAGTATTTTAAGAGTCAACATGTGCGACGTTTGGAAACTCAAACTCCTACGCTCCTTTACACGTCAAATAGTTTGGAACCTTAAGCCTTTGATAGTGTTTATGTAACGATGTATGAGAATTCAAACATATAAAACTGGGAGAAAAACAAAAAGGGTTGTAACTATATTATTAATTATTCCCAGAGGAAAAGGGAATTTTCCACTTCAGAGTTAAAGACAGTAAATCCCAGTGCTGCTCTCCACTCACACATACCAGACGGTAAACCGAGGGTGAAGTATTCAGCGGCGCATCTAAGCGCATCGGTCAGGGACAACGGAGAGCGTGGCCCCGACACTTCAACAACTTCCTTTGCAGAGACTTCTTTCTCTGGACATAAATCTGCCGTGTCACGCTGCGTAACACAAGATACTGTATGCAAGATTCGCTCTTCAGGGTCACCAACCCAATGGAAGCTTAGAGCATCAATTTCAATAAAGAATGTATTCGCACACGGGGAAAGGTGGGGGTGGGGGGTGATTGTCAAGGGAGGAGGGGAGGAAAAGAAACAAAATGGGTTTAAGGAACACAGCAAAAGCATTTAACCACCGTAGAGCTGTGAGGCCAGGGTTTAGTCCCACAGGCGCTAAGCGGCAAATGGGTTCAATTACGGCTCTTGCTGGCCACACACACACACACACGACTTCCATTGCTATTTCAATAAAGGGAACACCGCAGAGGGGGAACCGAACAGGAGGAGAAATGAAAAAGACAGAAGAATGAGCACTGAGGAGGAAAAGAGAGAGAGAGAAGGAAATCTCTCAATAATTCACACCAGATGATGCAACGTTCGTCATCACCTCGGACGTATGTTTTAACTTTTCGGTAAATGTGAAATAGGAAAAAGGTGCGGAACAGAAAACTGAAAAGCTACTACAATCTAATGACTTCTGGTATTTAAATGCAAATCAGAGGCAGCACACACAAACAGCGGGCTGTGTTTTTTGGTACTTTTCAGGATGAGAAAGTAATTGTGGGTTTGAGTCTCGACAACAACCCGAAACCAAAGCGCAATGAACAAAGTGAAAGAGGTTTAAAGGAGAACATCGTTCCTCCTGAATTCTGCTACAAAAACATCCAAGAAAAAAACTTTTCATTAATTTCTACGAGGCAACTAACCCCATAAAGAATTCATAAATAACCACAACAGAGTCCTGTCTACAACAAGTGGGCTCCAATGAAACCCGAAGAGTGAAAGCAAACAAAGACAGGAGTGAAAATAAAAAGAGTGAGGTACAACACAAGCCGAGGTCAGAGCTGAAGGAGAGGGAGAACGAAGACGATGCCGTGACATCCGTCTCAACGTGCAGCCGGTGAAGCCCACCAGACCTCCTCCGCGACACCCAGCGTGCCCTTTCAGCCGCTCCACGACAACATTAACAGCAGCAGCAGCCCGGTGCACACACGCTGCATGTGTGCACACGAACGGTGGTTTTATAGTTTAATGGCAGAGGCTATTTTCATAGAGCGGCGGAGAGGGAGGCAGAGATTGAGTGATGGTGAGGGACGAGGAGATGAATGAAGGGCTCCATGACCTGGTCACGGATCAGACACTGTGTGTGTGTGTGTGTGTGTGTGTGTGTGTGTGTAGCCTGCCGGCCACTGCCGCAAAGCATTCCCTTGAGTGCCTACAAGGAGGACAGTGTGCATGTGTGTGTGTGTGTGTGTGTGTGAGTCTGCAGTAACCAAGAACCTCAGAAATGATTGTTTCTGAGTTTTTAATATATTTTCTTACAAAAGAAAAACATCCCAAAGTAGTTTGACATGAAACTGAATTTACAAAGTACAGACAAACCGTGAAATGTTAAATGTAATATATATATATGCCTTTCCAATGTAAATAAATACGCTCCAAGAAAGAGTGACTACTGGCATCTACAGGAGGGATAGTTTGGTTGAATGGCGTTCCCTCGCTGAGGTTACACACTCCCCTGTTGCCCTCTAGTGTTGCTGCAGCAGAGCAGGACAGCAACAGGTTTGTGTTTTGGGATTGTTTTTAGCATTTGGTGTGTTTTTCGGTGCGCGGAGAAGCCGTACCGAGGTCGAGGGCGACAGGATGATGTTTCCGATGGAGGCTTTGAGCTCGTCGATGGTGGCTCGGTTCTGGTGCGTGCCGTTGTTTGGCTGGACGGGCTTGATCTCCACGTGGAACTTCCTGGGTTCGTCTTCATCCTCCGAGTCGCTGGACGAGTAGAAGGAATTCTCTTTGGCATGTGAGCAGACACACAAAGTTAAGGCGACAACGACGACAGGAGAGTTTAAAACGGTTTGGTTGTATTTAGCTCAGACCTCCTGCTGCAGAATGAGGGAACAGAACAACAAACAGTTATAGATTTCTTATAAGCTGGACTGAGTGTGGAGACAAATGCAAAGGATATCGTTCTCATTTGCTTCCGGTCGGATGCAGAAACCCTCTGCATCAACTTGGGGAACATTCTACGAAAAAGAAACAGAAAAGAGTCACATTTAAAATCTTTGTTGCACTTTTAAATTAACACATAGTTCAAATAAATGTATGTGTATTGTTTATAAATACATTTTAAAGCAGCTAAATGATACACAAACTGTATTCATCAACACTTCTGTGAACACCCTTTTACGCTTGAACATTTCATTATAAATTTACTTTTTCAATTAAATAGACAATACATTCTTTAAATCAGTACATGTAATGTTATACAATTCCAAACAGGACAGACAGGACAATTAACCGTTTAATAGTAGCTGTTTTAACTTAAGTCAAAACTTTCAAACTTAGTCTAAATGCAGTATTTCTTCTTCTTCTTCTTCTTCTTCTTATTTGTATCTACATGTGTCTTACTGTCATCAAAGCTAACTCGTGCATCATGTGTGTGTGGCGTCAGGACACACCACTGAAAAGAAAGCGCTGGAAAATTGTTCCAAGAAACTTTCACACGTAACATTTGTCTGAAACACGTCTGAGCAGCACCGAGAGCTGAAGGCTGCTGGCTCACAGTTCTACTACTCGGGTTATTACATCAAGAGTCGCTTTCGTTCGATTTGTTTTTCTATATGTTTATAAAAAATCATTCATAGAATGTGATTCACAAAAACAGGTCTGGATATGAATATTTATTGTGTGTGTGTGTGTGTTTGTATTAGCTTGCTTACAGCATTCTGGATGTCTATGGCGCCGTAGTATCCAGGGGGAGCGCCGTTGGCAGTGTTCTACAAGCACAGACAGAGAGAAATGAATGAATGAATGAACAAATCTATAAAGCAAACATGAGGGAGGGAACACACACAGAGAGAGAGAGCTAGAGAAGAGAGAGAGAGAGAGAGAGAGAGACAGACACAGAGAGGGAAATGAGGTTCTTTTCCACCTCCTCCTGTTTGAAATCAATATAACACACAAAGCTCAGATATAAACTCAAAGTTCAGGTATAACTGGTAGTTTTGGTGAAACTTATACTCACAGCAGCTTCGACTTCTGTCGACTCCCTGAAACACAAAGTTGTCACATCATGATGAGAACGTTTCAGATTGTGTTGGTGGATTTAAGATGTACAACTCTTCACTCACGTGGAGTCCGTGTCCTTGTCTTTCCTTCGTCCTGGGATGCCAAATGGTTTTCTCTTTCTGGGTTTGGCGCCTAAATACAAAAAACAAAACATTTTTCAACCATAAATTAAAAACACACAAAAAACAAAACGACAAATCTGCTCTTGAACCCAATATCTAAAATAAGGGTTGCGATACTGAAATGCAACTTGCAGTGTATTTGTCATAAATATTTCTGTTAAAACGTTTAATTTAGTAATAAGACGTACCTTCAGTGGCAATAGCTGCATTGCACTCCTCAAACTCAATGGGTCCTAATGAGACAAAAAAATCTTTTAGGTTAATTTGGCGCGGAAAAGGGTCAATGACCCACTGCTGTGAATGCTGTGAATGTACATCACGCAATATTCACACACACACTTTGGCAGATACACAACATGCAGTCTGGCGTGCCATACACAGTGTGTACACAAACAGGACTAGGCTGGTCCCACAGGGCAGACGGGGTCAATAGCGGAGTCAACTGTGTGTCTGGTGGCCCTCACGGAGATGTGACACTCCCTCCTGGGGACACGAAGCTCCGCTCCACGAGCACAGAGTCTTCCTATAAAGCCCCACCTGGGACATAAGAACCACCGCCGTCGCAAACCACTTCTATAAAAAAACTTCTCTGCGCTCACCGCGAACAGCAGGTCTGAACATTAAAGTGAGATGAAACTAAACCTCCCACGCGGGACACGCAAAAGGTGCAAACCCCCTATTACAATAAGACAGAGAAGTCCGAGATCGCATGCAGGGAGGTGTTTAACGCCGCACGGACAAATCTGCTCTCAGGCTTGAAACATGTGCTTCTCTCCTTCTCTCTCTCACATGCAAAAATATGGCCACACAAAAAAAGAACAAACCATATATGAACCAACAAACGTAATCGAGCACACGCGAACACACGACGCTACTCACATAATCATGGCAGCCTCGATTAATAGATAGAACTACAGACTGTCGCATTGATTCTAGCCAACGGTCATAATAACAAAAAATAACATTGCTGTTGGTTATTCAGATCCATCATTCTAATGATGATGGAAACAAACAAACAACAACAACAGAGTTCACACTTAATTTAATGCTCATCGATTATACACATTGACCTCCGAGGCCCTGCACTCGGACTGTCACGCTCCGAGTATGCCTCCAGAAACATTTATGGAGGCTTTTCAAAAGGGACGGCGCTTTAACATACACATGCTCTCTCTCACACACACACACACACACACACACACACACCACACACACACCACACACACGCTAAAGGCTGTAGAAAAACCAGAGGCAGAGCATGCAATGAGTCTGCACGTCAATCAGAGAAATCCGGGAGTTTGGGCTGTTGGTGTTGTGTGATGTTAATATATATTAGAAAGGGTGACACCTCAGCTACATGGTGAAACAAACTGTGTAACATCTGCATTAGTCCACGTGATCCACACGTTTAACTATGACTTTAAACACACACTACGGCGTATTTTAGTCATTTTTGCACGACTATTTCTGCTTAAAATGCATGACCTGGAAGACGTGCAGTCTGTGTTCGCTATCAGACCCGATAGATATGACTAGAAAGCTTAACAGCTTGCAAGATGAGAGAGAGGGATGGAGCAGCACCCTCTGGCAATATCTCTGATACACTAACATGCCATGACCTGAAAACAACAAAGCTAATGATATTTTAACTCAAAATGTATACAGTAGCAGCAGACCACGGCGCTCTCCCCCAGAGGACGCCAGTCGCGAGCGGAATCGACGCTTTGTTTGGCGTGTGCAGCGCCGAGTGAAGCGCAGGGAAGTGGCGAGTCACGAGAGGCATGCATCACGCCAAGCGAAGTGGATAAAGTACACCAATGACCGATCTACTCTACTGTGCAATATCAGGGCCTCTGCACCGCCGGGCGAAAACACAAACGACAGCACGAACCGGTTGTGTGTGTGCGCGCGCGCAACAGAGAGTTTAATGCCAATCAAAACACTTCTTCTCGTGGGAAGAAGCGGCGGGAGAGTCGGTGATGTCGTCGCAATCAGGTTTTTTCCTGCAGAGGATGCTCACAATCATTATGTCATTTGACATCATCTGTATTTAAATGCATTAGTTGGAGGTAATGTCAAACAAAGGCGATGAAAAAGGACCCAGAAAAAAGGGCGAAATTACTGGAAAATGACACATGGCGTTCTTTATTGGAGCTCTGGGATGTTTAACAAATGCTGTGGATCTACGTAAGACCCAGGCAGAGCAGGAACTCTTTGCCGCTAGCATCCTGCGATTGCATCTGACAATATTTATGCGCACCAACTCCAAACACCAGACACATGAATATTACCTAAACCTGGGCAGACATTATGAACTGTTTAAACATCTCCCAAACAGACGGACGACTCTGTTTATACAGGGGAAGATGTTTCTTTTCTTTCTACTCTCTGTGAGGGAAGCATGCAGTCACGCATGAGCGGAGAATGTTTCTTTTTTTTTTTTTTTTTTAAATTGCATATGCTTCACATGGCACTGGGAGTGGGAGAGGGGCGGAGGGGGTTTGCGTGTCTGGCCCACCGCCAGTTGACAGCTCAGCTGGATATCGTTGAACACTCCGAACCCCCCTGCCTCGCAGCGTGTCACTTTGGGATTGTTTCCGCAATAGAAAGTTTATTCAACCTCTCTCTCTCTAAAGGCACTGGACCGGCCATCCGTTCAGCTATTTAATCAGGGGACCGACAGGTTATTTTTCTGACAGGGCCGGGGCTGCTGCGCAATCCCTAATGAACAGCTTGATACAAAGAGGAATTTTCTGACCGTTTTTTTAGCCTCAATTAATTCTGCTGTCCAAACAAATGAAGGCCGCCACTCCTTGGACGCAGCGTCTGCATACAGGGGTCACCGTTTGTGTACACACAAACACAGCAGAGGTGAACCCTTTGTGTCTGCGACCCCCTGACGTAATGTTGCACAAGTACGGGGACGAGCGGAGTCACTGGAGGATTTAAACACACCGATTCATACGAGTAAAAGTTAAAAATAGTTATAAAAAAACGAAGCTCCAGAGCTACTACAGCTGCTGAAAGAGTAGCTAACTAACAATGAAGGAGCTGCGAGTGCGTGTGTGTGTGTGTGTGCGTGCGTGTGTGTGTGTGAGAAAGAGGGAGGTGGGGGGGTGGAGCCAAAAAGGGTCTGAGGAGTATTCCCTTGATTATTGTGGCATGGCAAAGTTTACACAAGAGTCATTGTTGAGCTCTGACCTCCTGAAAAGGTTGGTTCTGCCTGCTTAGTCTGCGAGCGCAGCAAAGCCCCCTGTGTGTCACATGCTTACTGGAATGCCAAGCCTGCCTACCTTTACAGCAGATTACTATGATTGACTCTGATGGCCCTCTCGTACTTCTAATTGCCCCTCTCCATACGGCCCTCCCCTCCCTCACAAGGAAGGGCCCGCTCACCTCATTTATTTACTCACACCACAAACACCCCCCCCCCCCCCCGGACAAACATTGGTTATTAGCATTAAAACGTATAAGACTCTTGTGGCTTACCTGGTCTCTCTTTGCCCGTTCCTTTGCTCTCTGCCAGTTTGTGTATCAAGCTCTCCACTGAGGTGTTCTCAATGTTCCTCACAAATTCAGTGTGGACCTAAAAAAAACAAAAAAAACATTCATTCATTCATTCATTTATATTCCCTGCAATCAATGAAGGTTTATTTTGGGTCGTTTACCGTGAAACAGAAAGTGTTCTGGTTGCCGGCACTCTAAACTTGACGAGGTGTTTAACCAGGTGGGATTAACTACATATCCCAGAAGCAGAGACGGAACTACACCCGCTAAATATTGTATTGCGGCTCGCCGTGCTCTGAGCCCGACTAGAAGAACGAGACGGTTCTCATTTGTTGGTGAATTCTAGCCATGTTTGTGAAGTGAAAGTAGAGCTGGGCAATACATCAATATTATTTCAATATCGGGATATTAGACTGGATATTGTCTTTGATTTTGGATATAGTAATATGGCATAAGTGTTGTCTTTTCCTGGTTTTAAAGGCTGCATTACAGAGATGTAATGTTCTGAACTTACCAGACTGTTATTGTTTGCCTTTACCCACTTAGTCTTTATATACTCATTACTAATTTCATTGTGTCTGGTTAAACAATATCGTGATATTTGATTTTCTCTTCCCAGGCCGAGGTGAAAATGAAATAAAAGTTTTGTAAACCGCAATAAAATGTTTATTATTATTTGCACAGACTGAATCCTGTCAGCTACATATATTACATAATGCGTTTATGGACGATTTAAAGCTGCACTAAGAGAAATCCTTTGAGCTCCAGGAGATGCACAAAACACTTCACCGTGTTGATTTTTTATTTTTTTAATCAAAGTTTATCACAAGTGTTGTAGTCAGGAAGTGTTGCAATAGTCTTTACTGTACACGTCAATCTTTCTTTGGTGCACCAGTAAATATTTTTTTCATCGCAAGTGATTAAATATAGAAATGCTCATCCTTAGCTGGGGGAACTGCAGTTCAGTGCTCAGTAACTGTTGATGTTTACGTCTTCTGTTATGTCAGATCATACATGTAAAGATTAGCGTCACGTGTCGAGTGTTTAGTGCGATTTGTTTCAAGATATGCAGGGAGACTGTCTGTTGCTATTAATTCTCCCCGCCACTTTGCCGTGTGTTGATATTAATAACATTTATTTTGTAAGTGGCCGTGCAGACATACTGTACTTCACTGCGAGTGATTCTATTGTGTCGAGGCGAATCATTGTTGTTGGCACTGCACTACTGCCGATGCCCTTTGGGCGGTATCAGAGGAAGCAGAGTGTTTGTTTGCTTGTTTGCTTTGGAGATGTGCATGTGTGCTTGTGTGTGTGCTGAGGGGGAAGTGAACGCGATGTATGGACGCGGGGATGAGGAACAGTGGCTGGCTGTGCCATCTCACCGAAACCATTTAGATGTGCGTGATACTGTAAGCGCAGAGTGGGTCCACTATCAAACAAACACACACGCAAACACATACAATATGTGTCTGCCCCCCCCCCCCCCCACTCCCACCCACACACCCCCGGCCCCTGTGGCGAGGTGGAGTGCATTAGCCTTCTGTGCCCTGGCAGGAGAGGATGTTGTTGGGGCGAGGGGGGTGATGTAGGTGGGTGGGTGTGGGGGCAGAGGGGAGGTTGCTGCGGTTGAGGAAGTATGCTCAGAGCAGCACACGCGATCAGTCAGGTGCTGTTGCCCTGACGGAGGGCAGTAATGTCATCAACCTGCGTGCCCTCCTCGCCTCTCTCACACACACACACACCTCGTACCGTGGAGACATTGGACCACATGCTCGAAACATGCTTCTGCCTTCAAGGGATCCTCTCTCTCTCACACACACACACACACACACACACACACACACACACACACACACACACACACACACACACACACACACACGCTCACTTACAAAAACAAACACAGCACTCAAACCTAACAGCCACACCTGCCCATCGTGCGAGTTCAAAGGCTCTAGGCTACTTCTTCCTATTGAACCCATCTATATAAGGTATTTTTTCCTTTCTTTACGTCGCTCACTTTCTCCCTCTCATCCTCCCTAACCCTCTTATCCTTCATGCCCACTGAGCTGATGCCGGCTGAGTCTCGTCTGAAAATACCTGCAAGGTTGACATGATCACTTATGTTAATGCCACCACTTCCCTGCAATTATGTGTCTCTGGTAGTTTGACACTCCTGGCCTGACAGCAGCACCAACACTTGACTCTGCTATCGAGAAGCAGTTCCTTCGTACAACAGTCAAACTCACTGCTATCTCCAGCGTTGACGTGGCGGGAGCGTAGACGGCCACGTCTCCTCTGATAAAGAGACACATGTGGAGTCCTCGGACGTTTCCTATTCACCTGCCGGAGAGGAGCTTCACGCTATCGCACCCCAGACTAGCAGGCCTCTTTGCAGGCCTCTTTGCAGGCGCTTTGAGCATCAATAGAAGCTACTAACGCAGCTACGAAGACATTGTTTACCTTCATCTTATCTGCACTCCCTCAGCACACGTCATATTCAACCATAGGAGGGTAGGTTATTTACATTTGTTTGTCTCTAGTGTCGCATTTATTCACTCTAATCTAAACACAGCTCATACACGTGTGACTTAACTTTATCAAGAGTCTCAGTGCTCGTCAATAAATTATTATTATTATTGAAGAAATACAATTGGACAAAATGCAAGAATAAATACCGTGTTTTGAAGGTTAATATTCAAACAGTTTAAAAGTAAACGGCAGCACAAACATTAATAAAATGGGTTGTTTGTCCAGTTCACTCTGTGTGTGTGTGTGCGTGCGCCTAACTAAAACCACACTCACAATATTCCATATTTGAAATGCATGAACATGCAAATGCATGATTTTGCTTGTTTGCTTGTCAGCATGAATGCCTGTGGGCTCAGTGACTAAGCACAATGTTGCAGAGATACAAACTGGTCCCGCCTCCCTCTTGCCTGACCCTCATGCAATTATAAAATTCAAGGTCCCTCACAATCTGGTTTGAAGAGTATTCATCAACCAAATCACAATTTCTCAGTCTGCTCGGGTTCTTCTGGTTCTACAATGCAGTCTTTTGGCTCAGCAACAGGCAGCAGCACTGCCCGTCTCCTGCTCAGAAGCAGGAACCGTGGGGCTGAATAACCTGCGGCAGCCTGTCGCTACACATTCTTTCCAACTTGCCGCACGAGCTGCAGGCCGGCTAGAGGCCCCGTCCGTGGAGCCGCGTCGCCCTCTGCGGGCAGTAAGAGAACTGCAGCGACCATCAGAACACAGCAGATGAATGAGAACGGAGCAGCAGATTGTAGTTAGTCTCCACTTATTCTGTGTGGCGCTGGTAAGTATGATTGCTGGATAAATAAATGGAAAGGAAATCTCTGGTTAACCTTGAATACCGATTAATACGCTCGTGAATGATGTTTGAAAGCCTTCACAGTCGGACTTGATGCCATTTCCCCAAAACCTAAACACACTCTCCCAGAAACAAAACGCGGCCGTGCAGCACGTTTAGCTATCAGACGCAGCTATTTGGCAAGTGTTTCGACTTCTGGAGGTGTTTTAGATCAGCTGAGAGGGAGTTTTGATCAGCTTTTAATTGCTCGGCATAAAAGGCTGAATGGACCATTTCCTGGTTCTCAGTTAAACGATTAGCGAGATCAAAGACGACACTAATTGATATGACACACAGTGAACCCAATGAGCGGAGCCTCAGGTCAACAAGACACCTACTCCACCCACAGGAATGTTCGAGAGCACGTATGTGTGTGTGTGTGTTTGTGTGTGTGTGTTCACACTCACCTCTCCTATCTGGATGTGCGTTTCGTCGACGGACCGCGAGTACAACTGAATGATCGCCTTCATGTGGAGAATGTGGTTTTCTTCAATGTCTTGGAATTTCTGGAACACAGGACGAAGGCGGTTAACGACGTGGCGATGCAACAAATGTATTCGTGTGCAAACAAATCTGCAATTCGTGGTGTCAAGTGTCATTAAACAGGCATGAAAACATGGAGCTCAGGACAAAAAGGCCACCGAGGAAACTTCACTTCCTTATTCTGTCCCAGCCACTTCCTGTGTGTCTGTTTGGGTGGTCTATGCCGCTCACACACACACACACACACACACACACACACACACACACACACACACAGTTCCTTCCACAAGGAACTGTTCGTGAGATACATTGACGGAGGTTCACTTTGGCTTTGAGCAGTAGTATGGTGTAGATCACAACTTAAAATGCCAGTGTTTACTTCCACTTAAGGCCGACTCTGGGCTTCTGGGGTTAACCGAGGAGAATGAGCATAAATAACCATAAACTGGAAAATCAAAGAGAGAAGATCTCATCACAAGCACACGGGTAAAGAGCCACTCGCTGCTGCGTCTACACTACAGAGACGTGCACACAAATGAGACTTGTCATATTCACACACAGACACACTCGGGACAAAGAGAACACACATGTAGGAGCCACGGTGATGTCAGAGAGCACATGTGTTCAGTGTTTATAACTCATGTCCACATGTGCTGCGTTTGAGACGAGCCGTAGACTGTGATGTCCCGGGGAAGTGTAATGCTGCAACTCCGCTTTCTCTTAAGGGGTGGGTGGGGGGCGAACAAAAACAAACGCTGGGCTAACTGGAACCATTTCTGGTGGCGGAGCTGCTGCGGCTCGGGAGGATATGGAGGCCAAATTCTGTTGATCTGATTTTAATTTGGAGTTTATCTAATCAGGCCTTCAGATGGATCCAATCAGGGCTTTCCACAACGATTCCGTTACAGAGGAAAAAACACAATCTGGAGATGATACAGGGCAAGGGCACGAACACACACACACACACACACACAATGAAAGTGTTGCACACCACACAGACAGACATTAGAGAGAGCTTGTGAGTGCGTGTTTTCATTAAAACACATCCACAGAAGAGAGAAAATCACGATACCTGTGCAGTTTCTGCCATCTTCTGTTCAAACTCTGACTTGGCTGCAGCATATTTCTCCACATAGGACTTGTAGGTCTCTGTGGCTTTTTTGGCTTTCACTCCAGCCTGCGAAAAAAAACATAAACAGACAAGATAAATGGCGTCAGTCAGTTCAGTCAGTTCATCGTCAGTTCATGCACCATACACACTGGCGCTTTTGTTTTCCGGATCAACTGACAAATCAGACGAGAAACCGAGCTCCACTTAACATCTGAAGGCTGAGAAGCTTTTGGGGTTAAAGTTTCTGTATAGACTGGAGTGTTACGGCACTTCATCATGCCTTATTACCATACCACGACTATGTGTGTGTGTGTGTGTGTGTTTGTGTGTGTGTGTGTACGTGCGAATGTGACCTCCCACCTTGTCCACATCTCTCTGGGTGGCCCCCTCTTTGCGGAGGCGCTCCTGCTCCACAGTTTTGGCGTTGTAGATCTCCTTGGACTTCAGCAGGGCCTGCGAGGTGGTCTGGATGTTCTGCACGGCCTCCAGGGTGGACGCCACCTCTTCTTTTGTCTGACAACACACAAACGCCCGGTACAGTGACTCCGCCGACGACAGGCTGAATAATACGTGCAAGTGCCCCTCATTGCTCTTCTAACCGCGGAGTTGAATTTTGTGTCGTTTGACGTTAACACAAGTACAACACTTGTCCTGGAATCCCCTTGTTCATTATGACTTAATGATGAAATAACAGACACAATCTCAGCGTAGACAGAGGTCCTTTATTGCTCTTATAAAACACGATTGCAGTCCCTCGGTTTCATTCTGCAGCATGTGACACACAACTGTTTCACATGAGGAAGCTGTTAAAAGCTATTTGGCGGCTGTTATAAAAAATGCATAAAACTCTGGATTTGTTCTGAATAGATTTGTTCCATCTGTATCGCTCTTCACACTGAGCTGGAACATCGGACACGGAGAACAATAATATTCCATATCATGCACAATATACATTTCCTATTTTAGTTTCTATTAGGCACGGGTGTTATTAGCATTACTTCTTGTTCACTTCATGCTAATTTAATCATTCATTCATTCATGTTTATATTTTTCCTCTGTTGTTTTTCTTCTTCTGTTGTAATCTTGAATGAATCTCTGGCACAAGAATTCCCTTCATAATAAAGTTCTATCTCATCTTATCTCATCTATGTTTTTATGTTGAAGGAATAAAAAGAGAACTAGAATCGAGGGGTAACGATAGTGAGCTTGGTCGTTTGTTTCACTCGTCATCGTCTCCGAACCCATTTCGTTCCTCATTCTGACACATTCATGATAGAACATCAGTGGAGTGAGCGAAAGGAAATCACGAACACATTCTGAGCACCCACTCCAAGACGGGTGTTTACTTTGTGTTACTCACACTGCTTTTACTACGGCAAGTGCTGGATCTGCAAGTTAGCCAAGAAACACAGAGCGGAGAGGAAAAAAGGGAGTGAAGGGAAGTGACGGAGAGACACTGTGACAGCCTTTTTGTCAGGCTGAAAGCACAAACACAACTCCACTGATTCCAAGCTCCTCTTTCCCTTTGTGTTCTGTGGCTTCATGCATGAGATGTGAGCTGATGGAGTCTCAGAGGAGATATAGAGAGGAGCGAAGTGTTAGAATAACACTGCACGCTACGTTTTCTCAGGATGGAATCAACTATTAAACAATTGCCTTTTCCAACATCTTTCACAGGGACAATAACTAGAGCGTAAAACAACAAAGAGGTGGGAATGGATCTACATTTAAACGGTTCATTTTCCTCAATGAGCATGAACTTGTGGCAACTCTGGAGCAGCAAACTACCAAATGATAATTGGTAGTTCATGGGAAGGAGTGACAGATTGGAGGTTTTTTTTGGGGTACTGTCAAGTTGTCATACATTGCGTGTGTTAAGACAAGGTTAAACATGTGATTCTCCATCTCCTTACCTTTTTGTGTGCTTTGGCCTGCTCCTCCACATACTTCTGGACCTCTTTAATGAGTTCCTGTAGTTTCCTCACCAGCTCCATGTGACAGCTGGCCAACTTCTCCGTTGAGGTCTTGAACACATCCCACACCGGAGCAAAAGTCCTGGAGGGGAAGACGACACTTCAGAGGCCAGGACGCGGCAGCACCCTCTGACATTCATTCCTTCATTCTGCTCTGCTCTTCAGAAAACTGGGAAAGCTGTTCACACTCACCCCAGCTGAGAAAAGTTGCCAGCTGACTTGGCTAGTTTGGTCATGGACCTGGCATAGGCTTCTTCAATAGCGCTCCTAGGACAGAGCACAAACACACCCTTCATTATGAATGATCACAGACAGCACTTCAACTCAACAGCATCGTACGTCAATAATGATAAAAGACATTTATAGCGTGATCAAGTTTTTCCAAATTATTTGCAACTGTGTTAAGGCTCAAACAGGGCAAGTCACGACACAAGTGAAGCCAAATACACCCACTTAGAACTTGCAACATGAATGTTTGACCACACGCGCCGTGTGTGGGCAAACACGTGTGGCTTGGCTTGCGATTTGTTCATAAACCACACGTCCAAGCTGACAAGAGTATGAACGCTGTAGTGTTTTCAATGCCCTGCTTCTCTTTTTATTCCTTCATTCTGCAGCAAAGTGACAGGAGTCAAAAAAAAGAAAAGGAAAGAAAGAAAAACTTGCAGCAGTGTTATAGTGGAAGCCTGAATTATGCATGACTCATTTAGCCAGCCTCTCTCTGCAGTCACGTCACAGGAGCAAGGTCAGCCAGGGGGAAACAGGACAAACGTGCGCACACACACACACACACACACACACACACACACACACACACACATCCATCATAAACACACACACACAGGTGCACACGGGCAACCATCCAATGTAGCACACCAACACAGAGGATGGGACGAGCTAGAAATGCATTCTATGCTACATTCACACTTCCACATCTTTGTGCAGTTTATTTTTATAAGCATATTTCAAATACAGACAAAGTGCCGAGACACAACTCTGCCTTTCAAAAAGCTTCCTGGTGTTCGTACTGAAGTTTAAACTGTGTGTAGTGAGCTGCAGGGTGTTGCTCTTCTATAATATTAGACACACAAAGCTTCAGATGATGTGATTTAAGAAGATCTCAGACTGATTGTAGTTCTGTGGGCTAAGATCGCATTAATTACAGAACCTCTTTTATTCTATGTGGATATGACCGACAGGGTTTCCACCTGAGACAGACCGTCAATCACAGTGTTGACTGTATTTGAACCACACGTTGTCTTGACAGTGAAGGTTCCCTTTGGAGCTTGGAGACAGTAGTTTGACCAAGATATTCTTTAAGAGATAAATCTTAAAAGACTCAAAGTTCATACTTACAAACCAGGCAAAGTCTTTGTATATAGTATCCCAAATCCATACTATATACAAATTCAAAGCAGATTTTAGGTACATGCCTGTTGTGTGCTCACATGGGAATAGTGACAAAACAGTTAGAAAACAGAGTAATACGGCTGCTTCTTTAGTGGGTTGTTGACGGACACAATCCTCCCACAATGCAATGCACTAAAGAAATGGAGTTGCTGCAAAGAGCTTTGATGGCAAAACAAAGTATTAAATATATTTGAATCACAATTAAGTGTCTCTTTGAAAAGTTGAATTGGCGGCGAGAGTCCAAAGTTGCAGTTTGATGGACGTCTGACGTTGCATGTATTGTAATATTTCCTGTAAAGCGGTAAAGTATTTTTCTTTTTTGGTATACTATCTGCTACAATGGTATACTTTGATAACTAGTGTGTAGTGCAAACAGTGTAGAGGTGGTTTGTCGTATGACGCTGTGTGAGGTGAAAGTATGAGTATGTGAACCTTGACGTTAAGATTATCTTTAGTCGTCTTCGGGTCCCGTGTTTTAAACTGGAGAAGGTTATCTGTGGTCTAAACGTTGTTGAGTAATGCCCACTTACAATAAAAGAAGAACTGAAAGTGAAACAGCAGCTTGCTGGTGTTTTTCCATCTTTTAGTGCAGATAACTGTGACAAAGCACCTGCAAGAGATTTCATGGATGTGTGTTTGTCTCTTGGAGATTTCTAATATCGTTTTAGCCTGAAATAGATTTTGGGAGAAGGGGCCCTGGTTGACAGAATGTCACAGATACTGGGAGCATATTGACTCAGTGCACAGAGCTTCTTTCTCCACCAGAGGGAGTCAGAGTGCAGTTTACCAGAAGAGAAGAAACATATCGGTCCATGAACTTAAAACCCCCAAACCAGCCTGTGTGAAACAGAGTAAAGATTCCTCTAAGCAATAGAAGAAATGATGTTACATTCATCTGTCTCCTTCATGAATGATGTGTTGATTCATTTACAGTACAAACAGCAACATTCCTGCAGACTGCAACGGTTGTTTATATTTAAGCATGTGAAACGCTAAAAGATGATTCATCAAAATGAGTCTGAACGGGTTGAACAGCGACGGTAAGCGTTGCATCATAAGCATCGCTCGGCTACAGGAACTCTTCAAAAAGTACTTTTGGAGCCGCTGCAAACATAGAAGCACCTGAAAATATAGTGTTTTAGGATCGAGCCATAATGTTAACATGAAATAACCTTTGAATTGTCATCATTCATTATTAACGAGACTTTCCACACATCTTATAATAAACACGGTTGATCAAGAGTCTGAGTGACTGGGAGCAGAGGAACCCACTGAATTCCAGTGGAAGACCACCTGTCATGTGGCAGGTTATAAACACACACCTCTGACACAGTGAAGCTAGTCTTTATGGAGGTGGGAAGCGTTTGACAAGAAGCCGTTATTATGCTATTATCCAGCTGCAGACACGGACGGTGCGGTTACAGGTTTAAGCTTCTTTCACAAAGAGGTTAAGTTTGCAAAACATCCTCACTCCTCCACCACTATACCTTTATGTTGCACGTATTAAACATAACTACTGTTTATTCTTCTGATGAATATGGAGAACCTCCTCAAAAGATAATCATCTTGATGTTGGAGCTAGAGCTGAAAGGATAAGCTCGTTAATTTACTAGTTTATCAACAAAAGAAAACTAGTTTTTACTCATACTTTTTAAAGCAATAGCGGCGCAAACATACTAAACACGTGAGGATAACTGCAATAGTTTGTCATATATCACAGTTAGGGCTGGTAAACCTTTAAGGTATCGAAGGTATGAAGTAGCATCGAACCTTCTTTAGTCAAACAATACCTGCAATAGATCATTTTTGTACCTGGATATAGAAAATAAACTGTTATTTATATGTTTTTTCGTGTATTTAATGCGACGTGTTATTGGCCCACCACTACTACAGCAGCCACAGCCCACGGTGGGGTGAAGTAGAGTGTGTGGTGTATTTGATGGTGTCGGCACTGCCAAGACACCACCGAAATGTTTGAAAGTATTGCTGTACTGCACGCCTGTCAACTGAATGCCTCCGTTCACATGATGGGTGTCCAATGAAGTACAAACCCGAAAGGTATCAGGTGAAGTACTCTACTGGTAGAGATATACATATGAAACAAATACACACGTTAAGTACTTTGGGAACGACTGATTTAAGGGTACTGGTATCGTACTCGAGCCCTAATGAAAATGTGAATATCTTTCGGTTTCATCGACTAAACCATTAATGGATTCATAGCAACAACAACAGGAGATACATGAAATCATAGTGAGTGGCAGCCCGTGTTAAATCAAACCCGTGCGGTCTGTAGTGATCAGGAAAAGTCAGAGTGGATTTTGGTTGCAGTCTCAGATAAGGACTTGGGTGTTACTTACTAAAAGGAACACTACAAGGAACTCCCTGTGCCAACTTTGAAGTACATTTAAACAGCAGGAAACAGGTCAGACACGTATTGAAGAAGCAGACACCTTAGAATGGGTTCACGAGTCCTGCCTTGTATGCACTGATTAACATGACAACTATTTAGAAATGGCCGCCCTCTTCAGAACACTGTCAGTCTACCGGGTCTTACCTTTCTCTGATGAAGTCCGTCAACTCCTTGGAGGAAATCTGGCCATGCTTCATGTTGTGGTAGAGCACATCGAAGCCATTGTTTTTGTCACCCTGCATGTCAGAGACAAAAAAAGGGATGCAGACAGATCAGTCAAAGGAGGAAGCACCAAGTCAAACAGACAAATAACACACCAAATACCGTGAGGGCTTTTTCTACGAGAAGCATCCTCATCGTCTGCATAGCTCCCAGCTGCATCTGCAGCAGCCTCTGGTCAACCATACTCATCTTTGCCATGTTTGAGAGGAACGGATATTAATAAAAACCGTGGCAGACTGGTCCAGGGATCGAGATCCAAGGATCGAGCGTACAATAAAAGATGTGAGAGGAAAACAGTGCGTGTGTGGCCGTGACCATGCCGACGCCGACAGGTGTCCAGTTGCACTGATGCTTCTAAAAGATGCAGGTAGCTCTGAATAATTTATATGAATGAAAAATGTCGGGTTTACGTTGAAGAAAATGTTGTAACAGCCTGCTACTACTAGTGATTCATATACTGATTATTGAAATGCTAAACGATGGTTTACGTGGTAAACAGCACACACATTCATTCATGAACTCATTCAAAGGACAACACCACAATCAAATACATTCTATTAGTAAGCTTCTTCCTGTATTAGAGATAGACCGATACATCTCACTATAGCTCATAGCAGACATACAGATATCAATGCCGACTAACAACAAGAAATTGCAGAACAAAAAACTGGGTTTGAGGAAGTTTAGAAACATGAAATAGTTTGTCCACTAGAAAGCACCGACAAGTTGATATTTTGAGCTGTAGAATTAAAACACAAAAACAAAACAAAGGGGACTATTGGCAGAAATCTTGTTATCAATTTATTTCTCAAAACTCCCAAATATGCACACAAGTATGTGCTTCAAACATCCAGTATGGGTCGAGATCCGTCCTGTACGATGCCCGTCTGAACTCAAACTGTGAGAGGAATCCATCAGACACAGAATCACATAATTAACTCTATTCATGAACTTCATGTGGCCTTTGTTCAGATGACTTCGATGGGTTCTGGGTTTGTATTCAAGATTCGAGCTTCATAGTGCTGACCTCAGTGCAGTTGACAGGTCAGCTGCACTATGTTTAGCAGCAGTAAGTGGCCTCCACTCGACACGTTATTGTTGATGCTCCTTCAACAACAAAAAACGCCTTCTTGTGATTGTTGAGAAGATAAGAAGAAGAAACACTCGACTTCCTCATCGGCCTCCAATAGGCTGTTTCTTCAGTGAGGGAGGAAGACACAGACATCCTGGCTTGAAGCTAAGAGGTTCACAGATTAGCTGAGAGGACAGACAGACTACAACATGACTGAGCTGCTGTCCCACAGATTACAATCAAAGCCTCTGAATCGAAGGCTTTGATTGTAATAGTTATCATGAATTGTGCTGATCAGCATGAAGAGGACTGACGCAAATAAAGACAAATAAGGAAACTCATACTTTCACTAAAAAAAAGCAGGCAGACGTCAGCATGATAGCGCCGCTGTTCACAGCAGAGCATCCTCAGTCTTGTCTGAATCTGCAGGCCAAATGTGTTTCACCTCAACCCGAGACTGAACCGGATGCTTCCTGGTTCCTGGAGCGATCCGCCGTCAGCAGTTTGCTACACGTTCCACAGCGTCTGAACTAAATCCTTGTTTTTCCACTTTGACAGAGATGAAAGGTCAGGACGTTTGTGTCACACTGAAGCTCAGAGGTAGCTCTTTATTGACAGAGCAAATAGACGTTATAAAGGGAAGTGTCTCTCTGCAGGCTACAGTTCGTCCCAGCCAGCAGACCACTGAGATGCACTTCCTGTTGCAACAAGATAACAAAGGTTTAGCAGCAAACAGCATGACATGCAAACTGCTGCGTGCATTATGTGTCAAGACAAGAAGGTGAGCAACAAACCATAAGAGTAAACCTGCCATGACATCTACACTGCACTGACCTACAAGGAACACAGAGGGGGGCGCTCGTCGGCCAACCGGTCCACTAAACAGGGAAGCGACAAACACACGGCTCCACGCGGAGCAGAACAGGAAGAGGCTGCATTCTGTGCAACGAATGTGCAGCTCGTGTGGAATGTCATAACAATGAAGACAAAGGAAAAGAAAAATAATAACAACAAACACAGGAAGCAGCTCAGGGCGTGTTTTCAGCAGGTTACAATGAACCGAATCCTACGAAGCAGTGGGCGGGAACGTGAAGACGTCGCCGTGAACAAACCTGAAATATCTGAGACTCATGATCTAGTTCAGGATTGTACAACTGCATCTACATGAGCAGCGACCATAACTACATAACTCCCGGCCCCACCCCAAAGGGAGGACAACATGCCGAGAGGTCAGCACACATGTCAATCACACTTTGTTTGAGCAAAAGCACAGCTTGCAGCGGAGACAGCGTCCAACATAAAAAAATGAAGCGAGGGAGCAGAGTCTGTGCCAATAGTATCGCTGACAGAATACAGAAGAAGAATTTAGATCCCGGCCGCTGTGTCTGCTGCACAGACTACAGGGGACTGAGCGTCTTTGTGTGCTTTAGGCAGACAGATTAAAAAATACAGACGTAGGTAATAGCCAGGCAACCAGACGGCTTGCGTCACGGTTGAATGTGCACTAATGCGTTTGCTGGGAAGAGTGGCTTCACTCATAAGGACAGAGGAGGGGAGTGTGGATGGAAAAAATAGGACAGCAGCAATATATTATGACTTCAGGTTGTGTCGTGCTGTTTAGACTGGAACTGGTGTGTTCAGGGTTCATGGAACTCTAAACAGGATTAATGAATTATTAAGCAAACAAAAGCTTCCACCTCTCTCCTGAAGATTTAAAGGGACAGTTCAGAAACTATAGTTCCTACATGAAGCTGCTCACAAGAGCTGAGGATTATCTTTGAGTAACCAGGTCATGATTTCTGGAAACGGACATTGCTGTCGTCTTTTTCAAATGTTTATTTTGTGTCATATAGTCTCAATATATCGGAGAGAAGGCAGACATGTCTACGGCCAATATCCCCAAAACTGGGTCGCACCAAATCAATCTAGATCGGTAAATAGCACGACAGGTAAGAGGATAAATATGTGCCTTTGATTTTGGTGCGGAATGTCAAATTAACCCTTTAATTACCAATAATTCCTATTCACATTAATGAGCAATATTAGCACCTCAAGATCATCAGAGAACAGGCTGTATGGTGTATGTAAAGCAAGTTAAAAGAAACGGTATAACTTAAGCGTAAATCAGCCACCATGAACACAAACACACACACTACAGGCACACACCACTACTTTCCATGATTAGTTGATTCATCCATTAGTTGATCAAATGACTTTGTTGATAATCAATAAAACATTTGTCATTTTTTCAAGCAAAAGTACAAAATGTTCCCTTGTTTCAGCTTCTCCAATAAGAGGATGTGCAGCTCGTCTTTGACCTCTGAAAGTCTTTACGCTGCTGTTCACACAAAACCAGCAGCTTGCAGACGTCGACGTCTGGCTACAGGAAGCTCACTTTTTTCTGGTATGTTTAAGGAACAAACTAATTTAATTCACAACGAAAACAAGAGTAAGTTTCAGCCCAGTTTGTCATGTTGATCTTCTGTCTCGTCTTTGTCTACATGGATACAAAACAAACACTGCCCAGCTTTCTCACCAGCAAACACACTCTCATATCAATGTATTATTTTAATAAACAAAGTATGAGACGCAGGTTTTATATCCAAATGGCTCGGCTCAAGTCTGTGTACCGTGAAGCCATGTCCAGAAAACACACCACAGACAAAACACATTGACAATAACTGTCATTACACAGTAGTACACACACACAATAAGAACCAGTTACATGGCTGACCTGCAACCTTAGAGGATTGATAAACAAAACCACAGCGCTGCAGTCCATCCCGTAACATCTGCCGGGCAGAGGAGGACAGGAATGCTCTCTGTGTTAGAGGAGAGGACCAGGTTCAACATCCTGTGTGAAGGAATCAAGTGTTAATGCCCGACAGGCAGTAATGCAACCCGGGACAGAGAGAGCTGGTTCATCTTTCAATATTATACGTTCTTCTTCTTCTTCTCACAATAAAAAGGTGAACGAAGCTCGAGTCTCTCAAAACGTCCACTGACTTCAGTGTGCTGAGACCGGTATATATATATATATGAGTATTATCATTATCACAATTAGTCAATTAAGCATTGAAAACATCAAAAATGTTGATCACAATTCCTTAAAGTCCAATGGTGACGTCTTCAAATGACTTCTTTTGTCTGCAAACAGTCTGAAACCTTAAACATATTGAGTCCACCATCATATAAGACAAAGAAAAGCTGCAAGTTCTCACTATTGAGGAGCTGGACCTGGAGCATATTAGGAAGCATTGTTTGAAAATGGCTTAGTTTTCTTACAGTAAACAGCACTGACATCAAGTAACCTATATTTCTTATATATGCATGTAAAAAATGATGCATTCAGTACATAAAATCAACATCACACATACGTCACTGTTGAATTAAACATATCGGTATGCAAGCTGCTAAGTGCAACTACTTTACAAAGAAACCCGTTTTCTCTTTATAGCTAGCAAAATAAAACATTAGACGTGTCAGTGAAAGTCACTGCTGTAGGGTTAATGGTCTGTGCATTCATCACATAATGGTGCAAAATCTATCATAGCCTAAGTGTGCTTTGGGAAGTCTCGGTCGATAAATTTCCACCAGCAACTCGGTTCAACGGGAAACAAGAACCAGGATCAAGAGTGCGGCTGACATGACTCCTGCACGTTCAGGTAAGAGCAGTGGAAAGAAGAGTGACCGCACACGTCTCACTGAGGGACTCGAGAGACGCTGAACAAGCCTCCTTCTCTCCAGAGGGACCGTAACCCACGGCCCGGGAGCACAGAGGAGGGCAGACAGCAGCATGACATCAGAGCGTCTGCCTCTCGGGTCATGTGACCGGAGAGCTCCGGGAGCTGGTGTGTGCACAAGCCGGGCTTTGTTAGTGGTATGAACGTAAACATAGAGGAACTTGACCGCGACTTACAGTCTGGCTTGTGACATCAGGTGTGTGGCTACCGGATAAACCCAGAACAGGTTACACAGGAGCCACTTAACCACCTCTAAACCTGGAGAACATGGAGGAGTTTAAGACAAAGGAGTGGAATCAAAACACAAGATTTCTGTTTCAAGCTAAAACAAAAAGTCAATGTTGACCAAAACCTTTTCACCCCATTGCAAAAACTCAGCAAGACCTTCCTCTAGAAAGGCAAAGATGGAGAGCGACATACACGGCAGCTTGTGTGAGCTGAAGGAAAACGCGTCACCATTGTCCATCTCTTCCTCTGACTTCACGCTTTGCTGTGTTATGGCGACACTTTGCATGTCAGAAAATAATCCGTGGGAGTGCGACTGTGAAATCTGCTCACAGTGGAGCTGTGAGAACCCCCCACCCCCCACACACACACACTCACACACAAACACACACAATAAAAACACCAGGGAGAAGAAGGCCATCCCGGGGCTGTTGGCTGCATCAACACTGTTTGCTTATCACACTGCCATCTTATTTTCCCATGATATGCTGAAGGCGAACAGACTCCACATTAAACATAAGCTCTGCACAGTCATGAGCTTCTGGCTGCCGAATCTGAATATGCGGTTACCATTTTTAGTCACTCTGTGTTTTGTAAAAGCTTTGTTACAGAAACCGAACTAAACTCTTTGGAACTAATCCACAGCCGGAGACACTTCAGCACATGTGGGGACAGTCACACGTTCAAACATTCATCAACAGGCCACAGTGAGCTTGCTTACTCGTACACATTACACACACACACAGACAGAAAATAAAAAAGGGGAAATGGATACTTCAAACTTGCAAATAAATCTTGTGAACGGAAACGTTGCAGCCGGTGACCAATCAAGTAGCTGCAGCTTAAATCTGACGGAGAGACAAGACATGGTAGTGCCGAGTGTGTGTCTGCCAATGCCTAAAGAGCTGTTATTCAGCGGAGGGTTGGATGTCGTCTACCTCAGAGATTCATGCCAGGATCACAAGAAACCAACATAAATGTCTCCACAGAGTGAGAGAGTGAGAGAGCACAGAGTGGAGACAGGTGTATACTGCGGCATTCTGGGCAAAAGTGAAGCCTAACGTGTGTGTGTGTCCGCTTGTGGTGATGATTTGTAGTCAAGTCAAAGCGAAATGGTTGCATCCTCTAATGCCAAGTGTGCGTTAGTGTGTGTGTGTGTCCTGCATGTTAAAAACACAGCTGATCTTTCCCCATCACTGGTTTCTCTTGTGTCCCACTGCAGGGCACAAAGGGCAGATTGAAAAGTCAAGAGCGTCTCAGCTCGCCTCTCTTTTCCTATTTAGTTAATGATGAAGTCTCCTTTCAGAACAAAATGGCTTTTGGTTGACAGTTGACAGACAATTTTCAGTAACAAAGTTTGGTTTTATCAGCAGGAGACTCTTTGCCACCCTGGAGCTGAGGTCAACTGAAGCTAACAAAAAATAATTAAGAGCTGTTTCCCACCTGAGGGAAGACAGGAACGCAATAGGAATGGTGGCTATTTGACAGCACTTTATACTATTGCAACAGCCTAAAAAAATACACACGTGTCAAATTCTCATTCGACACAGCAGCACTAAAACAATACTATATGTACAGGAAATATAATCTAACCACTATATTTCCAAGAGCTGTAAGGACACATGCTCATAGATTATTAACAGAGCAAAGCAATAACACCTGTATTAATAAATATCTCCTATATATAGTCATGACATTTACCTATGGCTGTAGTTAACCGACCAAAGAGACCAAAAGTATTTCTAACAGTTCAGATGACACAATATGAGACTGTAAAAACATCCAAAACATGGCTCATACGTGCAACAGTGGCAAAAACATGACCCTAAATAGCAATAGCCCGAAAGAAAGTAGTGTTTTTGACTTTTAATAACAGTCTGTATGGGTTTAATGTTTCGCCAAAAGCAATAATATAACGAAAAAGACAAGACAGGTTTGAGTTAAATATCAGTACAGTAGAGGAGCCGGGGTTTTATTATTCAACCTGCTGTGACATACCGTACCGTGGCCACGTCAAAAACGGAAGAGAAATGACCTTTCGGGAAGTAAATACACAACATAGTACACAGAGTAGTAGTAGTAATACACGCAGTACAGCGCTGGCTGTGTACAAATATATGAGCTAAATATCCAACACAGCGAGAGTGTGATTTTAAGGCTGTTCTTTAACTTACTAACATCTGGCCTCTCACTGAAACTTTGTTACGGAAGAAAAAATGACGCCAACGGCCAACGGCTATGACTGACAGCCGAGGCGTCCAATGGCATTCGTGGAACTGACCATAAACATTCCAAGGAAGCCCGGGAGAGCCAATTAGCGGGGAGCAAAGGGGGGAGGAGGGGGGCTCTGTGAGGTTTCAAGTTAGATGGGTTCAGAGGCCCAAACCCCCGGGGTGGCAAAATAATAAACGCCGAGGAAGTGTAACGATGGCCGGGGAGGCTGCTGACCAGAGAGTCCGGGCGGCACCGGACACCGCCGGTTCAAAGCCTATGTGAGCCATGACGGCTACCTCTGTAACGTCAATACTACTTGGCTGACATGAACATGGCAGGGAAGGGAAACACAGCAGGAGAATAATAATAAGGAATAGCAACCGGTGTGAACACCCGTGAATAAAAAGCACCACCTACCCAGAAATTCTCTAGGAAGTAGGGCGTTATCATCTTGTTTTATTCCTCTTCGCCGCAACTCTTAAAATTGGTTTTAATGCAACTTTTACAGCGAAATTCATCCACCGTCCTCCCCCCAGTTTCTGTTGTATCTGCCTTTCCCCGTTTTCGCTCCTCTCCCCTTTCTTCTCCCTCCCCATGTACAGACTCCACCTCCACTCTCTGCGTCTCTCCCCTCTGGTTTCTTCCCGTAGAAATGCAGATTTTCGGAGAGCGAAACAGCGCTACCCGTGGCGGACAACCAAGGCTGAAATAAATATGTTGTAGTGTAAAGTACCTATCTATCCATCTATCTCTCATGCAGGTGTTGTGCGTTACATTAATTATTGTATTGCATAATATAACGAGTAGACAGACATCTAGAAACTAGAGTAACTTCAGTGTGATATGCTGTATTTTCATATTTACACAGCCTCCATTATGAGTGTATTGCCTCTGCACAACCTTCCATGGGCCCATCTTTATCAGTGTTTGTTTGTGATGTCTGATAACTGCCATGTATCTTAAGAAACGTCTTATGTGGGGGAGGAGTAGTGTTGTCTCAGGATACAAGAAGCACTTGATACCAAGCTTTTTAAGACCTATCATGGAACATTTGATTATAATCACAAACTACACCCACGTTGTGAAACCTAACTTGCACGCAAAGACAAATGCAGCACTAAAATCTAAAGCTGGAATCCGTTAAACCCAGAGCGAATGCCCGAACTCATACAAGATGTGGCAGATGTGCTTCCTCGACATCCACGTTTCTACCTCCGTGTTTCCTTGTGTGTACATATTGTGCAGCTGCAGCAGGAAAAATGCTGAGAACATATACAAGACAAGAAATAATGTAAACAATTTATTGGAACATTGTACAGGATCAAGCAATGGTAACCAGTCACATCCACTATATCATCTTACAAATATTACAAAATTACTACAATACAATATAGATTCTTTGCATGATCCAAAATATTTGGTGGCCCCAAAAGTATTACTTTTTTTAAATTCAGCAGCTTATTAAAAAAAAAAAAAAAAAAAAAGAATTCAAACCATGTCCATCAAAATGATGTTTCTGCTTTTATTAGCAAAAAAGATGAAGGCAGATAGTCTAATCAAGTGTGAAGGCTAAATGAGCATACGGGAGTTCTTTGACTAGACATTCCTTAATATTGGTGGGCGCTTTATAAAATACAATTTTTTTTTCTTCAGTAAAGCTTCGTAGAAAGTCAAACTTGCAAATTATGTTCACAACATTATCTTTGAGTCGTCACCTGTTTCTTTAGATACGGTATACTGCATATCTACTGCAAAACACCAACACAACCTCAAAGTACTTGCTCTCAAGGCATTGTGTACACATCACACTAAATATTTACCGTAGTATGTTAACAATCACTTTTGACGAAAAGTACATGAAGTATGTGCAAGTTACCATTTTATTCTTCCCCCTTGCCTTGCAACTGTATTCACATTTGACAGCTAGCTGTGTTGCGCACACATAAACATTGTTAATTAACACCCATGGCTACCCACTTTACATATGAAGGGCGAGAGTTTTACGAATCTTTAGTTGTTGAGAGGAGATGCATGAAGGCGTACACACGTAGGGGAAATCATAACGAATAACACTGAAACACAGACGACCTGAGGTAAACACATAGAAAACACGTATTCAAGTAGTGAAACACAACTACAATGTATAGCAGCGGTCGAGTCGGAAATACAGCACAGTAATGGTGGGGATTGTTTCGCATGTGTTTTATAGACCTACCCTCTTTCAATGAAAGAATAACAGGACTGTTTGCGTTCACACACACACACACACACACACACACACACACACACACACACACACACCATCAAGCCACGATTACTCCTTTTTTTTGCATGCCAAACAGCTGGAATGTGACAGACAAAATCACTTCAAAACACAAAATGATGTGGCACATACAAGTATTTGCCTGTGTATTCCATGATGCATTATAAATCACTGTTTACCTCCTTAATGATAGATCTAAGAGATCATTTATATATCGTTGTACTGTGAAAGTGTATCTGAGACACTAAAGTACTTTCACATTCTAATAGAGATACTATTATAGTCGAGATACTTACTGCATTAGGTAAAAACATTTTAGCAGCAATACTCAATGATCCGTTACAACTAAGGTCATATTCTGAAGAGTTTGGCTACATCATTAATTTCAAGCACTCGTCATTTTAACTTTTAAGTGCATGTTAGGTGCATCGCAAAGGGTTAAAATACTGCAGTTATTACTCTGGCCAGCAGAGGAAAAATGACTGGCAGGGCATTAAAAAAAACTAAAAAAAAGAACTGAATTAAACTCTCCAACCCATCATGGAATACATTCAGGCTATTTGTAGCTCAAACACTTACACACTTTATAAAATATAACAGCGCAAAACAACCAGAGACAAAAACATTGTTGTAGTTTCACAGTATTTAAAAACTATACATCCAGCTATGGGGGGGTCAACGTTTAGGGAGAACACTCCAGCAAGATTCGTGTGAAGTTATAAAAGTCCCAGTGTTGCGATACATACTGTACATGGCTACTATGTACTGTTTAAAAAACTTGAATTAAAGCTCCCCTCCCTCCCGTAGTCCCCCTCCCACGATACGTTGGGCTGTGAGGGGCCACCAACATGCAAGAGATGAAAGTACCCCACAAAACACAACCACCCGAAACAATTACACGGTCATCCTCGAGATCATGCTTTACGCACACGAAGCCAAACAACCAAGAAGAAAACATCAGTACATTGAGAAAGAAACAGGTTAAACATTCATTCGATGGACTGCGTGGTTCTGACAGCCAGAGAGTCACAAAAGGAATCACTAAGACGGTATTGGTGTCGCTGTGGTGTCTCCTTCATTTCCCCTCCACGAGGCTCAGACCCTATAAAGGACTGTAAGCATCCAAAGCTTTGCTGTGCTCGCCTGTGAACGTCCGCGTCACGCAGCCGACGTTTGACACATCTCCTGAATCTGGTGTGTGTAAACCCAGTCATGCTACGTTACGGCTGATCGCCGTAAATCTCAGGTAGAGGAAACCGAAACAAAAGTACTGTAAATAGATAAATCACAAGGCCAAAGGAGAACCTCATCACAGGGCAATGACTGCTGTCGAACGCAACACACACCACTAATGTTCCACAGCTCTTCACAATAACACAAGCATGCTACCTATTCCCAGAAAAGCTGCTCTGAAAAGAAAACCTCGTGCTCTCCAGTGACATAATCAACAGCTTTTGCCCTGATAAAGAAAAGAAACACGGAAAGAACTGATAGCTATAGAGGCGATACTTTATACTTGGTGATATGCAGCATTCTATAATCACGAGTCGGACCCAATACGATGCTTTCTTAGCATCAGCTGCTATTCCTTAGATTTGAGCTGTCCTTGTATTGAGAGAAAATACCTCTTGAAGAACCATCAACTGAACTGCATTTTAAATGAACAGTGTTCTCCTCTCCTGGTAGAATTCAGTGGTGTTGAGAACTAACACAGCGTTTATCAGTCTGACATGATAATGAAAGCGTATCTGGCTCTGAAGAGCATTTTCTGCACCTTACAAGGTGCGAACTCCTCTAACCAACAATTAAACGAGCAAAATGCTTCACAGAGTGTTGCTTACATTTCTTCTCAGTAGTTCAGCTAACGGATAATAACAGAAGTTTGGGGAATAAATGGGGAGAAAAAAGTGATCGATTTCATTACTTCTGATTAAGATGTGATAACGTGAATTTTCCTCCCATGATAAGGTTTTTCTGGCAGTCCCTCCCCCCCACCCCCTTGCCTGTGCATGGGGGCACCGGGCACTGCAGCTACCACCTCCCTCCCACCCCGCCCTTCAGGTCGGGGAGGGGTACGCACCCCCCTTCCCTCCCCTCAGCAGGCAGACCCTTCCCCCCAGTAAAGGGTAACATGTTCCCTGGGTAAAAGAGGTTCCCTATATTGTCTCCCATAGTGAATGACCTGCGCAGAGAAAGAGAGGCCTCATTAGGAAAAACAAACAGCAACATCTCTTTCATATCAAACACTGAAATCAGCACGTTTCTGAATGTGTTTATCTAAGATATCGGAGAGGAAACTGACCCCAGCGACGAGGCACACTGCCGTGGAAACAGTTACACCCCGTAAAAGGTCGCCAGCCGCTCCTTCAGCGGCATGGGGAACTGATCCGAGAAGCGCATCCAGTTTTCCTCGCCCACCTGGTTCTTGAACCCGTGAAGGATCTGAAATCAAACACCAGGAGAAGTTCACACCAAGTAGTAATGAAACGCTGCCTTTCAAAATAGATCTTGTGCATGACGGGTTGATATCAGCGGGCTAACTGTAGACACTGTAATCCCCCACATGTGGCCCCTGGGGGGCAGGCAGGGGGACTGAGTTCATCTTTGATTTTGCTGAAATTTCACTCCATTCGATTAGTAGTTCCACTTGTGATTTAAATGTGTCTGAACACTGAGCATGTTCCGCTTTTACCTTGTAGAACATGTCTCTGAGATCGTCCTTTGGATTCACCCAGGAGGCCACTGCGTCGCAGAAGAATATAAAATCCTGTTCCAGAGAAGAGAGGTGAGGCAACATTTCAACTTGGCAACACATTGACCACGCTGTCGTCGTGTTCGCCGGACCTCACCTGCACTACACCTCCCGGGTTTACACTGATCATGGTGCAGATTCCTCTGAACGCAGAGTCTTTCTCCTCATTGTCTCTTATGTTTCGCAGAGAGGTGCACCTGACAACAGGGACGACCACATTTACCATCAGACACATCACAGAACAAACAACTGCCGCTATGCATGACCACTGCAAATACACTCACGTTATATCTGTGAGGAAATATAACACAAATATAGCCTATTTCCATCCTTAATACAAATGTTTAGGTGTTTTCTTTTTATCATAATGCATATTAGTCTGTATGTCTACATCCCTGTGAGTGTCTATCATGACCTAAGAGGTAACCACAAGTCAAGCATGCACACGAAACAGATTCAAATAAAACACTTTTACTTTTAACAAACTACTTTGAGCTCTAATAACTCCACTGTTGTCTATGAAACCTCATGGATAGCACCTTGAAAATAACATTATTTTATTTTTAGATTGACTAGAGGAGGTTGGGGTTCTTATTTGTAGTTGTTTTTGGGGACAGGCACATGCAGCTGGGTGACTACTGTATGAGAAAGGGATTGAGGAATGCTCTTTAGCATCCTTTCTCTGTTGTTGAACCAGCAGGCATGTGACAAATCTGATCCCATGCATCTGTTAGGTTTAGCGACAGTTAACAACGACAAAGAAACTAGAAATTAAACAAATCAATGTATAAATACATGAAGGTGCTACTGAGGCAAAAAAAGAAAATCACAAGTAGGACCTAAAAGAGGACAGGGTTAGTCACATGGTTGGCAATGATTACAAACTGATAAGAAAAAAGAAAACGAACTGAAAAGACTTCTTTTGAGAAGGAGAGGGAAGGAGAGAGGAGAGAGGAGAGCAACAGGAGAGAAAGCAGAGAGGAGATGAATTAAATAAAAGATTGAATAATACACACCAGGGTCTTATAAACTGCTGTAGCATGGGTGCCACCTCTTGAGGACAAACGTAACCAAGACGACCAATTGTTATTGCTAAGGTAACGCAATCACGGTTACACACCACCAAACGCCAACCAAGACATGAGCAATGAGGAGGGGAGGAGAAAAAAATAAAGAAAAAACAAACAACTCAGAGACATAAATCAACAGAATCTGTGTGTGATAATAAACAGAAGATTTCACTAGTGTTGATTATTACTGCCCCCTGCGGTCACGGGGAGGAATGTAAAATATGACACTCTATTCAAAAAAACATACAACACGTTTAAGGGAGAACACATTGACAACTTTGACAGGACATTCATAGAAAGAAAGGCAAACAATGGCATCTGCTTTCACAAATCATATGGATCTATGAGGATTTAAAGTTAGCTTGATTTAAAATGTCTCAATGTAAAGACGAGCTAACGTGCAGCATGTGTGTGTGTGTGTGTGTGTGAGAGACTGGCCTACACAAGTTCACTTAAGAGATTTCTCCCTTAAACTCACAAAAAGTTATTTTTCCATAACAAACAGAAATGTTTTTTTTTGTTCTTTTGAAAAGAAACGACAGATTACTCCAAGCCAACTACATGGAGGGAGACTAGTATCCAGCACAGCAGGTTTCGTATGAGGCAGAGAGGAGGGAGGACCTAAGTTTAAGAGACACAAAACTATGCAACATTCTCATTAACAAACAGGCATTTATGAACAGTCCAGTGACACATGCAAAAAGCAGATGGTATGCTCATTAGAATAAAGTTCAGTGCAGGATAAGCTGATCGGAGACAAAGGGAACGGTGCCACCGTGCACTCTCCAGCCACACCCACCTGGGAACCGACCGTGGCGTTACGCGGCTGTGCGTTTAAATTTAGTTCCAGTGACAAAGTGGTTCTCTGGGAAATCTCTACGACAGACATTTAAGATTTATTCTGTCGTGTTTTCAACTAACACATTGAAAACATGCAACACATCACCGGCCAGACGCAAATAATAATAAATTCTCGAATGTTATGACACAGTTATAATTATCATGTATCCTGCATCAAACATTGGCCATTCTTAACAACATTTAACATCTATTGGCAGATATGCATCCACATTTAAAGAACAGTAAATTAAAGCAACAAATAAACTGACAGCAAACAAACAGGAACACATCTACAGAGTCCCTAGATTATATCTAATTATGGCAGGTTACACGTCACCCTTGAAAGCATCTTTTTGATGAGATCAACAAATAATAATTTCAAATCCAATTTGTAAAAACAAGAGCACAGTGTAACCTTATTATTTGTAAAAATGCTCTGGGCTAGGTGGCCTACATTTAGTCACACTAGGTGTTCTCTCTAGTTATTGTTTGAGTGTTTAGAAAATGTCTGTCTGGTGGTAACAGTTAACTACGTGGGGCTGTGATCTCACCTATCTGTCCCTCACACTGCCTGTGCTTTGCGGTTCGTTATGCTTCTGTATTGTATGTGTACAGTCAGTCCACATTAGTTAATCCCAAGACTGGGCACTTACATGGCTCGCTCGATTCAAGCGTCAAGAATGTCCCAGCAGGGCTCGCTAGTTTGCTTTTATCTCTCCATTTACGGGCCACACTGCCAGCTCCAATATCATGAGCTGGAATATTTGGCATACTTTGGTGAAACCAGCCAAACCTGTACGGCCCACGGCTTGGGAAGGGTTCTTCAGATAGAGATTAAAGGGGCGGGACAGGCGCCCTAGTGCGTGTGCTGACTCCCTGGCTGAATGGGCCTGAGTGTTTTCGGAGCACCTCCCTGTGTGTGGTGACCTGGCTGGCTGGCTCAGCACTGCCACCGAGTGGTACCTGTGTTCTCCAGTAGAGTCTTTGGGGTATTTGGCCTGTTAATGATCTCCACCAGCTGGTGCAGCACCATGGCAATGTACGGCTGCATCTCAGACCCTACGGGGCGGAGGAACAGTGGGAAACGGTGGAAACAAACATGTTTACTCTGGCGACTGGAAACGGTGACATATTGTGGGAGTTTGTTAAAATCGAGGCACTCACCCATTTGTATAGATATCTCTCCAATTGCCCATGTTGCATTGTTGCACACTGATATTAATTCTGGGTTTAAATTAGTACCCAGTATGGGCATGAAATCAGCTGGAAGAAGGAAAGCGAGTCAACTTAGCAACTGGCCAACAAGTTGTTTCCAAACAGTGTTTGAGGTGAACTGCACAGAACATACCGATGCAGGGTTTGACGTGCTGGAAACAAGCCTTGGTTAGATCCCCCAGCAGAGCAAAGGAACTCTGACGCACTTCTGGCATTTTGTCCTGAGCAGGTTGGAGAGGACAACAAATAAAAAGTCAACAATGCGAGTTACTCTATCGGTTTATCAGATAAGCGGCACGTTATTCACTTTCTTCACCTGCATGCACTGGTACATGAGGGTGAGGATGTTGCTGCGGGCCACCAGCTCCTCAATGGTGCCTCCCAAACCCTCCGCCAGGCCGCTCAGAAGATCCAAAGCCACGATCATGAAGTCTTTGTCCGGGGCTTCATACTGGTCTGGCTGTGACTGATAAAGCTAGAAGAGTGAAGGATGGTAGAAAAGAAGATATAATCAAATTATAATTACTTATAAAACCTGAATTATAGTTATGAAGCCAGCTCTCGATCCTAAAACTACATGTTTCATCCACTGTTATTGATTAAAGGAAGTTTAACGTTACGCCTGTACATTAAACCTGCACATCATTTATTCTACTTGGCCACTTGGGGGCAGTGCAACAAGCTGTAAACACAACAAAGACATATTGGGCCCCATCTTACACCCAGAGCAAAGAGTGAGGCAGTTGTCATCTTCACGCTCACACTGTGTGTGTGAGTAGCAAATGTACACAACTGTGCCCCGTGGGCGTGTTGGTCTTAAACAGAGGTGTGGCCAGGCGCATTGTTGCTGCATTGCTATTTTGAGGCAGCAGAAAGCGATTGTGACAAACAAAGACCAGGTCAAAAGTGCAGAGTTTTCCTGCTCATCATTCAGTAGGATAGGCCTACATGGGTGGGGTCATAACGTGTGTACACACTTACTACCGGATACACACAGAGTAGATTTACTCCTCAGTTAAAGAGGTTATCGGTGCATTTGCTCACACAGACACAATATGAAACGGCAACATTAACTCAGCAGCCCCGTCAATGGACAGTAACAAATGGTGAAGGAGTGCCCTCCTCATCAGTAAACACAATATGAAACTCATCAATCAGACAAGTCTAAAGCTGAACCGAATAGTTGGAAGCTTTGAAGCTTCATTCATCATGTAGACATTACAATAAACACGTCTATTCATTGTGTTTGAACCCAGTTTTTCAGCTCAGTCGCAGATAAAGATTAGGCGACACTAATATTATTAATATTATACTATTTGTAGAATTACAGTCCAGTGGTGGCTGTGTAGGATTGTTTCAGACTGGTGTGATCCAAACATTTGCAATAATTCCAGAGCATTGTAAGGTTCAAAAGTCAAAATTCATTAAAAAAAAGATGTTTTTATCTGCTACTTTACAGAAAACTGCTTGCTTCTACAATATGCAGAATCCGTGATATAAATAGCAATGTGCCAGGTGCAAGTGCAGATTACAGATTACATTCTGATTGGTTTAATTCTTGTTATGCCCAAAACACACCAATGATTAAGAGACCTAATACGATGCCTTAATTTGTGCCTAGTTTATGCGCCCTTTAACCAGGAAAAGTGGAGCTTGACACGTCCTAAGTGCACCTTTAGACCAAGCGCTATAGATCATTACAACAGAGCCCATTATCAACCATTATATGGCTTTAAAACCAAAACAGTGACCTTGGAGAGTGTGTGTGTGTGTGTGTGTGTGTGTGTGTGTGTGTGTGTGTACACACTCACCATGGCCTGAGCGAGCGTCTTCTGCACCAGGTTGACACAGCGTTGGTACACAGGCTCACAGTAGGGCAGGAAGCCGCTCTGCAGGGCAGTGGCCACAGACGACAGACACTGAGGAAGGCAGGCAGGAGGAAGACACAGTCAGTGGCCTATTTATACACTGTTATCATCTGGGAAGTGACTCACTGTCAACTGAACAACTTGTACAGGCAGTAACTTCACATCCGCCACTCACTTCTAATAAAGGGAAGAGGTCCTTGTCTTCATCTTTCAGCTGGTTCCATTTCTGGATCAGTGGAGGCATCAACATCTGGATGTATTCCTGAGAAATAACACAGATTAAAAGAGTCTTTACACAAACACAGTAGATTTATTGATGTTTGTTTATCTTCTCATCTCCATGATGTCTATACTGTACCATCAGAAAGTACACCTACCACTAGAAAGGTGAAATGAGGAAGTGTGCTGACTTTATATTCACATGAAACTCAGCCCATATTTCTGTTCTGCATACCGGTTTATTGAGATGATGCCCCACTGAGTCTGCGAGCGTTCCGATGGCGTCGTACAGAATGAGCAGATTTTTGTGCTGGTACTTGCTGAAAGCGAACACCAGCGTGTCCAGGATGAAGGCCAGGTAGGGAACCAGCTCTGTACAAGCCTCCTCCTCCAAAGTGGCAAAGGCACTAAAAACAAGGGAGGGAAGAAATCATCATACAGGAAGCACTTAGTCACTATTACCTCTAAACGACTTTAACATTTTACGGAAGTGTACAGACATCTCCCGCTTCAGCAGAGGCCCGTGAAACCTCATTTTCAGGGTTCCCACTCTTTTCTAAAAATCATTTCTCATTGATGATCTAGCTGGTGTGACAGACAGGAATCGCACCATACAACAATATGTTCCTCTCTGTGGAAGTCTGATATAAAAGACGTTTGATGAGACAATTCTAGGTAAGTAAAAAGGTACTAATACACTGTATTTAGCTAGTATTTTGGGCTTCCATTCATTTGTTTTGACCCCGACTTCCCATTCATTGTTATCCAACTCTCTCAGCAACCCCCAGCACAGATTTAAAATCATTACTCCTGGCCAGACTTGAATCACAAACCGTAAACCTTTGCAGGCATTATTCAACCGTTAAAAAGCAACGTTGTGTAAAGTCGTCCAACATGTCACGTGACTTGGGTTTTTTAACATACAGGTAAAACTAATTTTTGAGTGGAGGGGATCTTTAAGAAATCGGGATACATCACAACATCTGAGGGAGAATGTGTGGGTATGACCGGTCCAAAGGAGGTGCAGGTTCTATCAGGACTCACCTGCACGCAGCCTCCTGCACACGCTTGTTGCTGTCCAGAATACGTTTGAGCAGCTCCGTCATTAAAGGCTTCAGGTAAGTATCCGGAGGCTGGCTGACGACCCAGTGAGCATAACGGCTCAGTGTCCAACAGGTGATGGAGCGCACCAGGGCCTTCTTGTCAGCCAGACACAGCACGAGATGGGGAATGAGCTCCGGCAGGTACGGGATCATGCCCTGCATGCAGCCTGGGGACAGGGATGAGAACAGTGTCATTCCTTCTGATTGTGACACCCTATGTTTGCTCTCTTCCTCTTTCCCTTCTCACCTTCAGCTATAGCCCCCAGCACGAGGATGCCAGACTCTTTCACAACCCACTCTGGATGGAAGAGCAGCTCCTTGAGAAGGGGCAGAATGTGCAGCAACAGATCGTCCCTGAACACGTTGGCCAACACGTCCAACGCTGCAGCTGAACACTTCCCTAATGTTTGTGGAAAAGTAGGGGGACACACATACGGACATAGAAGTGTGCGGACAAACATCGTACAGACATCACAGGTACAGCAGACACAAAGAAGAGACAAGTGATCAATACACGGTGTGTTTCCTAGCTCTAAGTAAAGACAACGGGACGATTCATATCATCAAACGTTGGAGGGACACAGCTCCATTCACACAGACACTGAACTCACGCAGGTTCCAATCAGAGATCGTATCATCATCGTCGTCCAGCTCATCGTCCTCGTCTTCGTCGTCCTCGATGCCATCGCCCTCGTGCTGCTGGGCAACAGTGCGGGAGCGATGGAAGCGCGGCCGGATGTCCTGCTCGTTGTCCGGAATGGCCTCGTCCTCCTCGGTGTCCCCCTTGGTGACGAACGTACGGGATGAAATAAAGTCACGTAAGTTGCTGCTACAGCATTTTAAACAAAGAAGAATGTAACGCACAGTCCTGTTGCCATCAAAGTTACACCAACATCTGAAAATCTTTGTGTTAAAATGTATAAAACAGTCACACAAAACAACTGAACTGCATGTCACAGGGCAATTCATCCTCCTACCTACAGGTACAAACATTAGGCTATAGAAACTGACCTTGAGCAGGATTATGTCAATCTCAGAGTACTTCATCCCATTGACAAGCACTGGAATGAGCCTGGAGCAGAGGGCCAAAGGAGCAAAGATGAGAACAAAGGGCAAGGATAGGTCGGAGCCCACCAGCAATCACTCACATGTGAGTCCTGCTGCTGGAGCAGTTTAATGTGACAGCGTGTTGAAAGATGTTACAACTGAGGTCAACACTCAGGGTTCTTAATCAGAAGAGAGATATCATCCCAGCACAAGGTCTTCACTAACTTACTGGCAAGGTTGCTATGAATCAACAGCTTGACCACTGGAGTGTGTGTGTGTGTGTGTGTGTGTGAGAGAGAGAGTTTTCTTACTGGGAGAGGTGTCCACACAGCACTTCCTTACACACGGGCTGCTCCGCCAGAGTAAGCCAGAACTCACAGGCTTCCAAGGCAACATTTTCATCCTGGTCCTGAGTCCTCAGTAGCATGTACTGAAATTAAATAACGGGAAATTTAATCGCATGTACTTTATATTTACAAAACACGATATTTCATTCTAAAAATGCAAATTGCAAATACATCCGTAACCTAAAACAAGCACGTCTGTCCACAGGGAGTCATCAGGAGCGCGTCATTAAAGAAGAAGAGGGGCAGGGTTCTATTTTTGTTATTATCAACACATCCAACGTCCTGCTATAGAACTATATCGTCCCGTTACGACCGGTGGCCGATCAGTCGGAGCACTCCGAGTGCATTCGTCACTCAATACTTTCTATGTTTCCTACCCAGTCTGTGACACTTATCCCCCAAAGCCTCCTGAAGACGTCCTCGTTTTAAAAGGGCTAATTAATCTCCTTAAACAACTGAAACTGGAGTAAAGCTGTTTGAGTCTTGTGCGCAAGCAAGTATTTTTGGAACCCTAGTGTTTATAGGATGGACTCAACTTCAACTACAGTGACTGTGTTTATCATAAGGGTCATGACAGCCAGTGCAATGGAGCGGCTCACTGACGTCTTTAGTTTCTGAACAACAGTGGAGGTCTGTGAAAATCCCCACTTATCCTGGAAATACATGTGTTTATCCTACTCCTACTGCTCTCTCTAACACTCACTCACCTCTACGATGTTGTGCATGTGTGGCAGGAGACGGTCCAGGCGAACCTCCAGCAGCATGACGAGAGCTCTGCACACATTCTTCCTCACTTCTGGTTCCTCATCTGTCGCCAGTGCAAACAGGTTCTGCAAAGGATAGAATGACACCAGGGTCAAATATCTATGCATACTATGCACACTATGCACAGTGTGAAACAACAACTACTACTACAAACAATAACAATAACCACTGCGTAGCCTGAGCAATATATTAAGCTAGCACTTTATTATAAGTTAATGTTCTGTTTCGCTGCTTCCAAGCCCTAAATAGGAATAGCACATTCAGCAATACAATCAATACATTAAGAATCACAAAAGCAATTTAAAAGGCCGGGAAAAAGACTAGATAAAGTGAGAAGTAAAACTCAATCATGTTTGCGTGCATATCTTTACGTGTGGGCACAAAAGGGACAACACAGATGCATTACAGTCGGACTTGCCTCAATGAAAGGGTCGATGTGCAGCATAAGAGCCTGAGTCCTGCTGATGATGAACTGATTAACGCAGGCGATGGCATGAGACCTGCAACACAATAAGCAGCACTTCAGAACCACTCCAACACGCTTTACTCACGTGTCGCACACTATGAATGCAGCCGCTGTCTTCTTCTCTGTCTGTCTCCGCTGATTTAAGCTCCAAATGTGAGGAAGTGTTTTCTTCTGTTGCATTACCACAGGCCGAGACTTCAACTGTACAATTATATTGACCTTTAGTCTGTAAATACATTGTACGTGTGCAAAGACATCTAAAACCCAAAGATGTTCATTTTGCCAAATTGCTGACATTTTACACTCTATGCTAGCACCTGCTATCGGTATGCAACTCTCAACAGAGATGAGGAAGGAAGGATACGTGTTGTTCTTGTTCTTGTGTAGCGTACGTGAGCTGATGAATGATATGACAACGTGATAGCGGATCTGTGCGTGGACTCAACGATACTCGATCCAGCATTGTAAGCTGGTTCGGAGGCATTTCCGATACTGGTATCTCTAAAAACATCTATGCAATGAACTGATGGACATGTATCATGAATATGTAAAGATAGTTAACAGAAATTATGAACATTTTGAATTGCTTTAGAGCTGGCATGATGGATACTCGGCTTTATCGTCAATTAAAACAGAAGGTTTATGAATAAAGCTTGATACCTAATCTTAGGACTGCTGTGCTTAAAGAACTGCAGGAACTTTGGGATCATGATGTTCAGAGGACGATCCAGTATGTCACTGTCCAGGATCTCAGCAGAGTCCTCGCAGATTTTCTGCAGCGCTCCAAACGCTCCCTGAGGGATAAAACACAAGGAGGGGAAAAACAACAGAGAATGTTATGAAACGTCCACTGTTAAGACCCCCAACATGGAGGCAGCTTACACTGCAGCTACAGAGAAGCGTGTGTGGACGAGCAATGGATTTAGCTTTCTGTTTACCGTCTTTTTGCTAGCTAATCTCAACCGAATAATATATATCTATATTTTATTGGCTCAACATTGTACAAATGTAAGATCATAATGTGTTTACATAAGTATCGAACATTTAAAGGATCTTGTTCTAGTTTTTTGCACAGAGCGAGAGCTCAAAAATGTGTTCAGCCTCCTCCTTCATCCACGATCTTCAAAAGGATTCATCCCCTTCTGCCCTAATAACCTCCAAACAGTTGGCAAGCAGTCACAATTATCTCAGCGCGCACACGCACACACACACACACACACACACACACACACACACACACACACAATACTAGCTGCTTGACTGATGGTTAGTATGCATGTTCACAATATGCTGCAGCCTCCTCTGTCCCTTTACCAAACTGCAGCCTGATGATCTGATACGAGAAACAGAAACGACACCGACAGTGTCTGGAATGAGTTTCCATGGAAACCGTTCCCATGTCGGCATTCCTCTCCGATGACAGACAGCGAGCGGCCTCAAATACAATGTGGAGGAAATAAGACGAGGAGTCTACGACGAGGAGACAATGTGTCAATGTCACCGCAGACGTTTCCCTCATTAGGAGACAGATTTATCAAATTTCATCTTGCAGGGTAGTGTGCAAAAGGAACAGGACTATTTTTGGGGGGGTGACATAAAAACACAAGATTTAATTTTGCTTTTCAGAGCAAAAATAGCTCATTCCACTCCACTAAAATGTGTGAATTGCTGCTTTTCTCCATTTCATATCACTGCATACTGAATATGATGGACTGTTAATGAAACAAAACATAATATCTGAAGATGTCATACTTGAATTATCGAACATTATGAACAACATTTTACATTTGATAGACAGAGAAAAACAATCATGATCAGATTCATTAATCATGTTGGTTAATGCCCTCAGTGGAAGTAAAAAGTTATTGAAGGAATCAAAGATTTAAGATGAATTAATTGTTATTATGCAACACAGGGTTGCGCAACGAGGAATGAGAACAGCAGCAATAAACCCATTCTCTGGGCAGATAATATGGCCGACATCTTAACGTTACAAATTTGACATCGGGGAAACGCCGTCCGTCAACTTGACTATTTGAGCACCAGGCATCATAAACACACAATCATCTCTAAATGTTTCAGTGTATTCAGAAGAGCAGAATGCTATGATAGTTGAATGAATCCTGCAGCATCAGATTTGAGCTCTGGAAACACTAATACACTGAAATGCAGCTCCGCTGTAACTCATCCCATGTGAAAATGTGTGGAACCGGACACAAGGCCCCTCCCAACGACATCAGCATGTAATGTGGGTGTTTCTGTGCCTGTGTGTCAACAGAGAAGGGCAAATAAATGGCATTTCACTGAAGCTGAAGCGTCAGTCCTCCCTTGGAGTCCTGTTATGGCCGGTCATTAAATGCGAGAATGTAAGTCATGCAGATGACAGCCAGCCAGGGAACAGAGGAGTATGCGTTTACACAACCAAACAGCTCCAGCTCTGGAACTTTGAAGAATGTCACGGTACAAACGAGCACTGAGGTGACAAAGCGTGTTCGTCAACTTCATCCTCACAACACCGTCGCAACTGCCCTCTATTACTGCCATTAATCACGACAGTAAAACTGCTCTCAGGCAAACCTATATAAAGCCACCAGCGCTACACTCGGCATCCACACACCTGCTGCTGTCCTTTTGGTAGAGCCTGTAGAGGGTGGAGCAGAGAGGGGCACAGTGGGGTGCCACAGGGGGCTTTTCCTACAACTGCTGCTCTGTAACCACAAACAAGACAGGACCTATGGGACAAAAATTCCACAATAACCTTTCAGCCTGTTGTACCTCAGTCGGAGAGAAAACTAGACTTCTGCACCTCCTCTTGGCTCTTGTTTTCAGGCTTTAGAGAATCTAGCCTGTGACTGGAGACTTTGGCCAATCACAGGTCATCTCAGAGAAAAGGGAAGTTCTGTAATCCTTTTTTTCTATGCAAACATGTGGGTCTGCAAAGCCCTTTGAGACGATACACTGGGATTCAAGGCTCTAGTGGCTGCAATATCAGCGAGGCGTTTCAGAGATGCAGAGAAAATGTTACCGAGAGCTCACGGTTTTTACAACAAGTTTGAAAAGAAAGTGAAAGAATGAGGAGGACAGGTTACTGTATGAAGCATGATGTATGAGATGAAAGACTAGTACAGGTTACTGTATGAAGCATGATGTATGAGATGAAAGACTAGTACAGGTTACTGCATGATGTATGAGATGAAAGACTAGTACAGGTTACTGTATGAAGGATGATGTATGAGATGAAGCGTGTGCACAGGCCCGTGCTCATCTGGTGGTCGGGGTTTAGGACACAGAGGGGGGGCTGTGCTTTTCATTTTTAATGCCTTGCCAGAAAGCTGCTGACCCTGGCGTACCACTTGAATTACAATATGCTGAGAGATTATTATGGATTTTCCCCCAATAATGCCAGAAATAAACCCCAGAATGAAGATAACAAAGTTCATAGCTACACGCCTCATTTACACCGTGTATCCAAGTCTCTCTGCTCCCAACATCGATTCAATCAGATCTCTAGAACGCCAAATAACAACAGAAGTTATCTCAGGGCACTTCTCATAAAGAGCACGTCTAGACTGTGATCTTTATAATATTGTTGACAGAAATTCCCACCATGAGCTAAGCACTGGATAAAGACAAAGTCCATTAGCCCGTCAGCAGACATGACCTCAGACTGTTGTCCACTCACAGTGAGGATGATTCAATAACACAGTGATGAGCATGTATACATGCGCTGTAAATGCACAACACAGAGGATATGTTCTATTGATCAAATGGCCCGAGGCCAACATGCGTGCACACGTTTCCTCATCGCTCGGACTACAAAGTGCACACTGTTCTGAAACCGTACACTGTTAGGCGCTAAACATACTCCCAAAATAGAAATCAAAGTGCTGGTGGCAGTAATGGTGTGGATAGTTTAGGGGATAGTCTCTGGCAACAGTCAACGCCTTCAAAAATCTATTTGGCGTGCCGTGGTTATTTGCTGTCCCTAGATTTACGAGGTCTGAGTCGACGCGATGTGTCCAGCCTGGTTTTCCCACACTGGCAGACTCTGAACTACATTTCAACTCTTTCTGAATAAAATATGTGCATTTATAAATGTGGCTTTTGTCCAAAGCAGCATAGGACAGAGGTCCAACACACCGCAGTAGATCAAGGAGCAGCCTGTGAGACACTCGCCTCCATGTTCCACCTGACACAAATGCCACGAGGTTAGAGGCTCAGTGTACGAGCTTTCCTTACAAAACAATATGACCGTAAGGGATATGATGGTAGCTCCATGTTTTCTAAGTCCAACATTGTCCACTTCATACATTATAAGACAAGCTCAGCTTCATAAAACACATGTCTGCTGTGGCATTAGCTGGGATTTATTGCTGCATTAAATCTAAAACCTGCAAGTTTAAATCAATTCATAAGCATCATTATTGCCATTAACATCACTTGAAACATTCAGCACATTCATTATGCCATTTCAGAGCCAGCTGTAAACGTACTTATAACACTTATAACTTACAACAAAAGATCAGTGGCAGAGCAAAAGAATACCTTTGCTTACCCGCCATGATGACAGAATAGCCCAAAACAACTGAACGCTTTTAAATATATATTTTGCATCTTTAATCACAAGATTAGAAGAGCCTTTTTTTCCCCTCCAGCACCAACTTAACCATCTTCAACATCAGACATTAAGAAGCTTTCCAGCCTCCAAGCTGCTTTTCAAAATCATAGTGAGCCTTATGAGGAGCTGCTTCATTTGGTCGCTGTTCGCTGTTAAGCCCTGTACACACATACACTTCAAGATCCTCTGTGGTAAATAGCTGACCTAAATCTCAGCTTCAGAATGAGCTTTATAGAGAGAGAGAGAGAGGCCGGCTGTGGTGCCACAAGGAGAGACATCGCATCTCTTCCTTCAATTTCAGAGAGTACGGGGAAATATATATATTCCTGCTGTAAGGGACGAGTAATCCTGCAGCATTTACACGGCAATTTAACGTGTCGCCTAATTTGTGCGTGTTCTCCAGTGTAACGTATCCACCTTCCCTATGGTGGCTGATATCACCGGCACATGCAGCTGACAGCATATTAATGACCAGCGAGTTTATGTGAGCCGACGTATGGGCGCGGCACCTGATCAGATGATCCAACATCCACTACGAGCTACTGTATTGTGATGCAGTTACAGTAGCTGATACGACCAACAGCTCAGAACATTAAGCACTTCTGCTCGATGCAATCAAGACGTGATAATAAGCAAGAAGAAAACAACTTGCAGTATAAAACAAGGGCCACACTGCATTGTCTTTGCTGATATGAGAGCTATTCTGGGTGACGATGTGCGCCAAGTCAGGAAACGGGGTCATAATGGTTTTCTGGTCAAAAGCATAGGAAGAGAATAAACGATTCCATGTTGAATAATCTGCAGTTGTGGCTGCGGCTCCAGCTGTGAGACTGCCTTGAGCTCATCTGGCCAGCAGGATGTGATCCAGATGCTGCTTTATAGCTGACCCAGCTCTATTCCCTCCCCACAATAAACAGATAAACAAATAAACAAACAGGCAGCGCTGTGTGCCCAGACAGGCCGACTTATAGCCCACAAGTGTGCCGTGCCACATGAACACAAATGTGCATATACTTAATCCTACCTCACACACAAAAGAAGTGATATTTAAGAAACCAAAAGACACAACAACTATATCATCAGTATATCCAAATATTGACAGGTTTGAGCTCTAAAATATACCGACATGTAGATACTAGTTTTGCCAGATTAAGCTGCCGGGGGGGAAACTCACAGCATGTCAAACATGCTTCATTTTAGTATGTGGACAAATCCTGACAGTGATGAATGAATGTGTCCGTATTTAATGCTAACGGAGTTGTCAGGACACATCTAATATATCGTATTCATGTAGGTGGTTCCTCTCATTTTCATGGTCTTTTCTGCAACATAGACCGTCTGTATAAGGAACATCTTTTGCTGCCATCATCACTACAGTGTAGTGATTAAAAGATACATATGAAGTAAGCCCCGACAGATGAGCAGACAATCAATTCCCACAGTCACCAGATCCGACCTAGATCTCCCGTGATTGTCCTCACCTCACACGTGTTGTAGTCCTCAGAATCCAACAGCAGGCAGAGTTTAGGTAGAAGCCCCGGCCAGTTCTGTAGCTCTCCCTTTGAGGCGATGGTGGTGATGAGGATACCTGGTAAAAGGACGGAGGTACTCTTAGTCACACTGTTGTTACAGAACTACTAAGAACGCACAAGCACTGCTTACTAAACTATTGTTGTTTTGTCAGACAGTTGTCATAATAACAATAATACCAATGGTTGTTGTGTGCCTTAGTGGTTGTGTTATGTATTAAGTTGAATTGTGAGTATGAATGTTACGGATGTGTATTGATTTTCTGTTGTTGAAGTATCGTCTGAAATACGAGGGAAGAGCAGCTACTGTTGAAATGAAGTAGCTAACGGGGGTCTAAATAAAAATAAACTTAGCCATTAAAACAAATCCAGGAACATAAGAAAGAATCCCTCTTTGTAATCCATTTGTGGGGATATGCTCCATATAAATATGCATTGAGTTAGCATTGTCACAAAGTACAGTATAGCTAATAAAAAGCTTTAAGTTGAATGGCTGTGTGGCTGCTAGTCAAACATGTGTAGATATCAGCATGTTTCTGCATTGTTATTCAAACAGAGCCGATCGAAAACAACCGTGATTTATCTGTGAATGTGTCGTATTTGACTGAGAGCTGAGACTTCAAAAGCTGGTTTAAACATGCTCTGTGCTAATAAGGCTGTTTAGCATAGCTTAATGAAGGAGGTGCTGTGTTCAATGCTATTCCTGTCCTACAAAAAATGCAATTACATCTAATATATATATATATATATATATATATATATATATATATATATCAAAAGGAAACTCCATCTCAAGTTATTTAGTATTCATGACTAATAAGCTAATAAGTAATTTATTGAATCAGTATACTCACATTCCTTTAACCTGCTTTGTCTACGTCTAGTGCGAATAATGGACATTCAGCTGTAGGTTCAATGTGACAGTGTGTTGTGTCAACAACTAATCAAATCTACAGAGAACAAGGGACAAATACTGCAAGCTACACTCTGGATAAACTGCTTTTAACAGTCCCACACTACAGTACAAGCGTGGATATCTTTCCTTTGTGGATATGAACATGCGAGATACGATGAGTGATCAACTAAAGCGTAATCTTTTAAAAAAAGCAATCACATTCCACCTACCTACAGTGGCCCGGATGAGGGGAGACGAGTCTCCGATGTTTTGGAGGCACTCGCTCTTGATGAAATCAGACACGCCATTGGGGAAGTTCTGATAGTGGGCTTTCACATTGTTCTTCAGTATCAGCCCACTCAGGGAGCGCGTTGGTTCGTCTTGGGGGCGAGGTGGAGAAAGGACAGATTGTAAAACAAGACAATTAAAAGATTGTGTAAATTGGTAACTAACGGATAAACTTATTATTCTACTATTCTCTAAACATGTGTGCCTTGTTGCATTAGAACTAAGAGCAACGGTGGAACAGCATCCTAAAATGTCTTAACACCACTTAACATTTCGGTCATCGACTGCGCAGGCAGTCAAGCCAAGAGTTGAGCAGTGCCAGGAACTAGGTTTAAAATTAGAGTGACCCATATTCAGAGTGCCACATCATCTCTGTGGCAAAGATGCCATTGGGTCACCCGAGTCATGGCCAAACAGACCCGTCTGTCAGCAGTTACATAAAAGTGACATGTCTGACGTTCACGCCGTCCAGACCAGAACCATCGGGTGATCTAGGAACGCAGTGCAGATAGTGAACGACACACCGACACAGAGAGCTTACCTTCTGATTTGAACTTTGTCAAAACAAATATCAAATAGTTGTTGAAGTCTGGATACTGGTTCAGCTGCTCGAGTCTCTGGGAACAGTGGTTGAGGAAGACTAACTGTACGTACGGCATGTTAAAAGGTTAGGAGCATGTTAGCACTGCAATCTATTACATGGTAATAACTGATTGTTTTCACCTGAAGATATGAGTGTGTGTGAGGGGAGTGGGTGTATGGTTGTAGGGGGAGGGGGGTCATAAATGTGTCACATGACGGGGCTGAACACTGTAAGTACCCAGACAGATGGCTTATTTAGGGCTATAACAGCAGGTCGTCTATGAGTTAATGATGCAGTGCACATATGAAGCGGTACATAAGCAAACCATTTAGGATCAGCGTGCAACCAGACAAAAGACATAAGACAAGCAGCAGGGAGCAGGTGATGTTCATTGTTCTCCAATACAAAAAGTATGTAGTAATGATATATATATATATATATATATATATATATATCATGGTCTTTTCACATATGCAACACCCTGACATATCGTTTGGAGACTGGTGTTATGATTGTATGTATCACAACATCATCATTAATAAAAATCACCATTACAGGATTATTACAATACACAGGATTTTTGACTAAAGTCTAAAATGAATAGCATATTTAGCTTTTAGCTGAAGAAAACTGAGTCCATTGTTAGGTTGTGGTTGACATATACTGCTGTTTGTTTGTTTTTCTGCTGGTCTAATGCAAAGTGAGGGTGTACATGGAGGCGATTAACTGCTGGATCAAGCCTTCATGACACGTTTATAGACGTTATATTAATACATCAATCTCTAATGCTATAAATACCCAGATATGAGTCATTCAGCACGGCACGACAACGCTTTGCACCTGCGTGTCGTTACCTGCTTATAACGGTAACCCACCCAGGCTAGCGTGTTAGCTACCGCTAGCCTGTTGAGTCCACCTGACAGTAACAACTAACACACATATCACGATCCACGTCGAAAGGATACTTGCTGGACAGATCTCTGCGTGGACGTATCTGGCGACTGAGACTCTTTCAGCAGCTGTAAGATCTGTTGAAGTCCTTGCTCGTCTGGCTTCCACTCGCACTCCATCTTGCTCTGCTGCTGCTGCGGATAAAGACATAACATTACAGCTAACACAAGAGGATTTGTCTTCCAACGACTCTCCAACGGCTAACCTCTCGAGACAGACACGAGCGCGTTAACGCGACCCTGTCTTCGACACGTAAACTCGTTTTTTAGGTATAGAAAATTGCGTTTTTACCCGTCTCGACTTGGCCGACCGTGTTCGAGTGTGAAGCGGACTCTCTGCTGAAATGTGACCGTCTGTCTGGGTTCTCAGACATGGGCCTGTTACAGCAGTCACATCCGTTTTCGCAACAAGCTGGAAAAAAAGAAGCCGTATATAGAGAGAGTCGCGTCAACGGAAGTAAAAAAAAAAAAAAAAAGACGCTTGATCGTCACGTGATTCAAAACGCCAGGAAGTACTTGGCGGGTAATTTGAATAATAAGATATTGGTAATAAATCGGTTCAAACAGAGACAGAGAACTGCGATTTTTGCAAAATAGTGGCCGTCACTCTGATGAACAATTAATAGTCATACTGCACTATCACCTCAATTCCATTGTCATTGTATAGCTTTATGTTCATATACAGTATATATCCAAAAGTATATATATATACTTTTGGATATCTATTTATATTGTACATAGTCGTTAAATGTTTGTAATTTTTATATTTTTCTTGTTTATTTGTAAACTTGTGTATGTACGTTGAGAGCAAAGTCAAAACCGGAGTCAAATTCCTTGTATGCGTACGCATACATGACCAATAAAGCTGATTCTGATTCTGATTCTGATAAATGAATTGAAACGACATATCAAAGCTCTGGGTATTACAACAACAGAGAATATTTAATGTCTTTGTTTCTTTTCTTTCTCCACATCTCTGTTTTTTAGAGAAAGTCCCACACCAGGCACGTTTACACCATTTAGATTATTATTTATTACATCATAGAAAGTGGCCTTGACCGTCGGCAGGAGTGTAAAAAGCATCAACTTTACTATTTTTGTAATATGTAATTGTTAAGAATATGTCAGGCTGTGCAGCTAAAAGCTTCTGGTTGTTCCAGTGTGGGGGGAATACTGTTATTTCCTGTACATATTATCTAACGCTCCTCGTTATTGTTTATAAGTTTCCCCTGCATAGTGTTTTTGCTCTTCACACCCCGTCTGAATCTACATGGTACTTTAATAAGCAAACATGAGAAGTTTGCCATCTAGATTTCACAGAAAGAGTTCATTTGAATCTAAACCTTAATATTTTTTTTTTATATTTTGCCTAACCCTAACGAGGTGTCTGGTAGAAAGCCCTGAAGGCAAACTTCTCCCTCCAGACATATCCTGAAGAGTCACGGCTGTGCTGCGTTGGCCTCTAGTGGTCTGGGCCTGTAACACATTCGGCCATAACAACACTGCAGCTTAAATTCATGAGTTTAATAACACAAGTGACTAAAAGAAAACTTCTAAAAGAAGCTGCTGTGTCTCCTAACCATCTATACATTGCTAATAAAATACCACAATAACTATATTACCAAATGAATCCATCGGATTGAAATTGACATTCTTAACATGGCCTTATCCAAAAACAATCAAATCATGATCCAGAGAGCTCAGCAGGAGGTAGTCATATAGTGTAACATTTCAGCAAGGTCTGAGTGTATTACTTTCTTTTATTGCTTTTTGAAGCTTCATACTTTTTCATGGTTTGTAACATTTTAATTTGTGCTTGTTGTCTTTGTTTTGTTGAACGAGCTGCTGAAGAATCTCCTGAACAAAATCAGAAGTGAAGATGCTGAAGAAGAAGACGGTGTTGACCAGACCAAATTAATTGTCCTTTAAATCCCCTCCTGTGGTTATTACTCCTCAGTTTATTCATTTCACATTCTCCAGACTTTTATATTGTTTCAACCTTTAAAACAAATCATAAGGTAGAGTGTGTGAACATGAGAAATACAATACAATACCTTTTTGTGAAGCTGTCACAAAGATATGAACATGCATTTCAATCGTACTTAACTTACTTAGCTTAACTCAGCTCTGTATGAGAGAAAATAAAGATGCACCAAATGTTAAATGTTCATTTTTTTTCAGAGCCCATTCTTATGATGGCCTGTGAAAAACAATTCTACCTTGAATACTGCAAACACTCTGGGAATGCTGGTACTTAAACAAAAAAAACCATTAAAACAACATGGAAAGTCATCAATCAATTATTGAACAAGAAAGACAATGCGAGGAATACAATGCCGTTTATTATCTGGTTGGCACATGGATGTCTTCCTGCACTGTCTTCATGTGCTGTTTTCCTTGAGCACGAGCTGTAATTAAAATGACACGTAAGATTATTAGCTCACCCAGAGTGTTAAAGCACTGATACAGAATGAACCAATCATGAAAACTGGAAGTACAATTAATATGACAGGCAGAACAAAACAATGATCCCAGCGACATGTCAGCCTTGACTCCAGCGATTTATGTCAACGTGTAATTCACATCTTTGTCAACTCAAAGCAAAAAGATTTCTGTGGTATCGATCGACAACAATACGATCCCTGTTATGTCATCCATACTCACAGGGACACTTTCGTTGTCTGTCTCCGGCCGCTGCCAGTTGTTTTTGGACAGGATGCCGAAGACGACCAAGACGAAGGCCACAATGAGGAGGCCGAGGGAATTGGCAAACTTTGCCTCCACAGGCAGTGAGCTGTAAGGTTTACCAATGATTCCATCTCTATGGAGAAATTAGGATCAACGAGTTAAGTTTCTTACATGTTTCATGTTTGAATACTGATTTATAGTGCAACACCTCATGCTTTTGTTAATGTTAATGTAAGATTGCTATGTGATTCTGGCTGTTTTCCTGTTGGAAAGAGATTGTGTCGCCATCTGCTGGATATCTGAGCACTCACAGGGTAAAGAACAGCTGCTCGTCGATACCACTGATGCAGGAGGCCACAGTGAGGATCAAGATTGCTTTGCCCATCCAGACGTGGACAGGTTTCAGGTTGCTGCGGAACCGCAGCGGAGAACAAGGAAGCAGGAAGCCGGCCAGACCGAGGAGCCACTACGAGCATCACGGGGAAAGGACAGAAAAGGGACGGCTTAGTGTTTTCTCAGTTTCCTCCAGTACGTTCAGCAGTTCATTCCCTTATAATACCCTCACCTGGAATGCAAACATTATCACGGTACAGATGCCCACCCAGCTGTGTATAGAGTACATGTCAGGGATTTTGAAGAATCTGTGGTTGTCAAACACAGCACACAGGCCCAGGACAGACAGGAGCAGAACCAGGAGCATCAGGCCGGCGTGCACCAGCTTCCAGGTGTGCTTCTTCTGCTTCCAGGTGAACGGCACACGGTACAGAACCACCGCTGCACGCACACAGTTGAGGAATAAATGATGCAAACAGTGCATTTATTAATAGCTTGCCATCATCTGCTTTTCATTTAAAATTGGAAAACAATGACATGATATTCTCATTTTAGTTTAAATAAAGAGTGAGATGTTATTTTGTCATGTTTGAGTCATTCAGTTGATGAACTCAAGTGAAGACTTTACAGACTTCAATGTCTTCAATTTCAGTTTTCTGGGTATTATGATGTCTCATTAAAATAATAACAAAATCCACTAGGCTTCATCGGTTTCACAGAGAGACAATACCTCCGAGCTCAGTCGGCCGCAGTGAAAAACTATTTCAGCTGAGACGACCATGAGAAAATGATTTCATTTCATTAAACAAAAAACAGATACATTCCTGGAACTCTCTTGTCAATTGTTTTAGTACAATATGTATGAACAATGTAAAGTAGTGATGGACCCCATTATATGATGTGTATCGGGCCCACCCCAAACAAAACAAAGGCATCTTTTGTTTGACTCTGCTGCATGGAAAATGCTCACATTTTTTCAATCTCCACACCTCCAGTTTGTTATGCATGTTACTGAAATCCATCCCTTCATTTTCCCCCTCTTACTCTGGGGCTGGGTCGCTGGGAGCAGCAGGCTTACAGGCTATTCCAGAGCTCCTCCTGGGGGGACCCTGAGACGTTCCCAGCCCAGACAAGATGCATGAGATCCAAGGTTGCTCTGATGACATCATAGGGGTCCCGTCAGAGGCACAGGAGACATTATAGTCTCTAGCTGGTTATAAATCTAGGGTGAACTGTCCCTTTAAGGGCCAATATATTGTTGTTGTATGGTCAGAGGTACACCAATAACAGCAACACCATTAATGTTCCCTAGATATTGTGGTAAAAATCAATAGTCAAGGGCCCTATTGCAGTCCACCTCATTTATATCACTGAAGGCAGGCGAAATAACAGAAACACCTCTCTGTATAATGCAATCCAGTTCAAAAGCACCAAACTACATCCTCCAAAACAACTGAGTCATCACCTCTCTGAAACACTTTCAACAAAAACAAAACATTATAACCTTCATGACGGTAGTGGTTTAGATCTAGCTAGGTGTGTCGAATGTGTGTACCGAGTGTAAACATACGGCAGTGTTGAATAAAAAAACCTCATTATTACAGTGCAGTAACTTACCATTGCCATACAGAACCACCAGCCCAGCTACCATGAGGACAGGATGCCAGTTGAACTGCAGATCTGAACCATCCCAGGAGAAGCCACCGTGCCAGTGTGAGCTCCAGAAGCTCACAAAGAGCAGACAGAGCAGGCCCAGACACAGGCACGGCACGTAGGTGAGCCAGAACAACACCGACGGACTCATATCTGTGAGTATAATGTCATGAGTAGAAAATAATGAATTAAATCATAAATCCAACTGAAATGAAAATATAGATGTATCAAAATGACTGAAGAAAAGCCTGTTACATAGTGAAATATACAGATGATATCACTGGATTATTGTTACTGATTAGAACAACTATACATACTGATGAGCAGTTTAGTCTCTAACACTAACAAAAGCCCCAATCTTATAATGACAAGACCGGCCTAACTGGGTCCATTAAAACACGTTAGTTCATTGAGAGTATTTCATGCGGCCTTTAATGGAAAATTTAGCAATAATGAAAAATGAAAGCTGATTTCAGAAAATACTTGAATATTGTAATTGCTTCAATTACAGACTACAATGACTTAATGAGAAAGAGATTTTAGTCGAGATCAAATGCATTATAATTGAAATGTATAAATCTGAATTAGTAATTTGTAACTAAAAGATATGCAGTAATAAGACTGATATTTACCTCTGGATCGAAGTGAAGTAGAAGTATGAAGACGAGTGAAATGAAAGTAAAGTAAGCACCTGTAACTTGTTCTTAAGTACAGCACTTGCAAAAGTGTACTATTTACAATTAC